TGTTCAACTACCTTAATCTCCATCATGAGCTATAAATGGCACAACATATTTTGTAGCTGTATTCACTATTAATTTAAACAACATTCTTGTACAGGGGCTCCATTCTTCTACAAAAGGAAAATTATCACAATTATTCTTAGTCGGGCTCTATAACACCTGCTTGTAAAATTACTGTGTAAACGATTAAGATACGACCCACTTGGAGAATAAAAAAGGGCAAAAGGATCAGAGAGAGTAGGATTTGTCTGAAAATTAAGGTAGGATTTGAAGTAAGTGAGAGAATACATTTATGTTAGAAGAGAAGTTGTAAAGCAAGCTGTCTCTCTGAAGACAACATGGACGAAAAATCTACTCCCAGTACTTCAACAACTGGGCTGCAAAATCATATCTTCCTTTGCCTATATAGTCCTAAATATAGTCCTTGTTCAGGGCTATTGAAATTGTTCCAGCAATCACGATTGGGCAAAATGAATATTCATTAGCATTTTTACTGCCCTTCAGGGCCCTTGATCTGCCAGTGACCTCGCACTTCCTATAATGATTTAGGAAGGAAATTATTTAAACATCCTCCTTAGTCTCCATTATGCTCCTCTTCTGCATCCACAACATCTCCTCTGCAGCCAATCGGATGTGGCGTCACATGATAAAGAAATTATTAGGGCCATTATGCAACTGCACCATTTTGCCCCGTGGACCAGGGAAGAAAATTGATTTGAATCAGCCTCAAGCTCCGGGGAATTTTGCAGCTTTCACTCACTTTAGCATCTCTGTCACCCCCTCTGTTGATTCCCAGAGGTCCCGGCTGAATGACAGAGTGAAACAGGGCCTGCTTCACCTGCTGTTTTTTTTTCTCATAGACCTCTTCAGCATGTGTTGACTGTTGATCAATTAAACCTAATGAACGTGTTTTTTAAAACTGATATTAGATATGATAACCAGACCTGTATTTGTGAAAAGCCGTAGTTGGGGAATAACAAGAAGCATTGCACTTGCTGATGGTTGTCATTTGGTTACAAAAACAGCTCACCAATTTCTAATTAGGTGGGCTCCGTGCAGCCATTCGGGGACTTCGGCATCAAATTCACTTTTGATTTAATGTAAGTCTTCGGCCCCTTTATTAATTCTTATTTGAGAAAATGACTCCGTGGTATGAATCCATTGACACAACCTTTAGATTATGAGGATTTTGAGTCTTCTCATTTACTGTAGGCAACAACCCTTGAATGTTATAAGCCAGTTAACTCAAACATGGCTAATTCTTTTTTTATTATCTGTGGAGATTATTAAAATTTACAGGTTTACATTACTTGTAAAGATTAAAAGTAATAGGTTATATAGGCCAGAAAACAATGTATGCAAAAATAGAACTGGTATATTACAGTAGTGTGAAACCATTTTTTTTCAAACAACATTTCAAAGAAAACAATGAAAATGAGTCACTCTTACACATCTAAATGCACATGCCGTATCTATTTTCTCTCAACAAAAGGATTCCTGTTAAATATCCCAGCGGGGGGCCTTTAAGTGTGGAATTCGCATGTTCTCCACGTATGTGCATGGATTCTCTCAGGGTGCTCCTGCTGCTTGGGTTAATTTGGGATTCTAAATGGAACCTAAGAGCCAATATGGACGTCTCTTTTTGGGTCTGTGATGGACACTGAAACCTGTCCAGAACGTACCCCAACCTTTCATCTTCTGGCAGATGGGATTTCGGGCCTCTTTTGTGGGCTGTGTTCTCAGATACTATTTGATCAGCTGAACAATACCCGATTCTTTAAACTAATCAAAAAAACGCTCCACAGTTTGTAGGACTGTCATGCGCGTATACTCCTCTTGCTCATTTTATATCCACCAATCTCAAAAGTGTATTCAGTTTAATTTTAGTAGATCTAAATGCTGTTTTAACCGTGACTTAACCAAATACACAAGGCTTTACATTTTAAGTATTATTTTTAAAAGAAATCCCGGACAGGGTAAAAATGTAAAATGTACATGTGACATTGAAAACTTGTCGAAGTGTGACTCCTAATGACATATGACGAAAATTGCTGTCAGAGGAAGGATTGTGGGCCATTTACGCAGACTTAACTCAACCCGACAGCCGGGCTGGATGGTTCTGTTCCCTTTTGACAAATAGGACCCAGCTGTGATAACAGCAAATTGTGCTGGGACTTCAATTCCTCCTTTCATGTCTTTTTGCAGTCAGTTCCTCCCAATACAATAAATTGGGTGGGTTCTTTTTTTTTTTTCCCACACCGCGACACAAAGAAGAGTGTACATGTATGACAGGAAGAGTGGTTAACGGTCTGTGTCCTAAAATGAAGAGATAAGAAAAATGGCGCCTTCATCACTTAGGTTTACGACAGCTAACAATTATCAAGTGTGATTACAGTGGTTGGAAGACGGATGCCATCGACTTTTGGAGAAATGCTTTCCTTTTTGACATAGATGAAAATGTGGGGGTGTCCGTTATGCTTTTCAAAGATCCCAAAAAGCAGAAAATCTTTATCCGTGCCAGTGAGGTGACTCAAACAAGCACAGAAAAGAATCTTTGACTTTTGTCCTTTCGCTCAATGTACTCCTCGTTACTGGAGTACTTTTTTAACACATGTGGTCACATAGTCTTTCAAATATAAATAGCCACTATCTGGAGATGGTTTTTCTATATCTTTGTACTCTTCTTTGTGTGCGTACTGGAATTGTTCTGTATACGTGGATAGTGCTGTAAAAAAAGTGTTCTATCGATAAAGGGAGGTATAAACAGACTTTCCTGATTGCTCAAATTTCAACAAACGGTATGGGAAATTATGTGAAAATCCAGCTTCTTCTCTGATGCGCCTAGTTCAGAGGAAAATATTATATTGCATTGCATCGTGTATCACATTTTAAAACAGTTATGTCACTACTTTGGGTACAACATTTTTATGTAAAAAGATAATTATGTGCAAATGTATTTAACCTGTCAAATAATGAAAATAAAAATAAAAATTGGAATACCTAGTTTTACCTCAAGTAACATGCTGATTTCGAATTTGCTCCATCCCTTTTGGTTGTGTTAATTCAGATATTATGACAGAGTAAGAATTGTGATGGGTTATCCTTGAACTGGGACCATTTTCCAAAGAAGTCAGGGGACAAAACAACCAGTTCCTCACCAATCACTAGAAATCTTTCAGTAATACTTTGGTAGAAATACATCAGCCTATGCATAATGTATAATATGAGCCATTTGTATTTTGTGCTTATGTCACAGTTCCCCCATGAGACTGCAGATGGTGCTCACTATGAATGAATCCCAGCTGAAGCAGGGTCGGGGATATTGTCACTTAAATGGTTAGTTTTGAATGCATATGCACACCAGCACGGTGTTGGCTGTTTTCCATTGTTTCACTTTTAGTTTAATCGTCGTAAGCCTCTGTCTCTGTCTCAACTTTAAACTTTAATTGTATGCATATCCACACATCTTTGTATCTCCTTGCGTTCTGCCTTTGGATGCTCCTACATTTAACATTCATTAACGAGGCAACTAACCTTTCCGAGTTGTTCGCGGCTTCACAGCTGCTTGGTTTCTTTTTAAGGTCAGGCGATCTTTTTCTGGATAATTTCACCACATAACCACTTTCTTTAATTGGTCGATTCCTTCACGTAAGTGTCTCTGATTTTGCTAACTCATGCCGGTCATTGGGAAATTCAACCTAATTTGGGCCCCTTTCTAATCCTGTTTACAGCCGTAATGGAGTTACCCAAAATTGAGGCTCTTTTGGCGGTGATTCAATTTGCTGCTCGGCCCTCCTGCTCTCTTATTGTTGCTTGCTTTGCAGCTGCACAGAGCTGAAACATGATTGTTTTTTGTCTCTTGATCCACTCACAGACAAATGGCACATGACAGCTATGTATTTTTTTCTTTTTGAACCGTTTTTACAGCTTCAGTCAGGCTTTCGTAGACCACGATAAAAGACAGATTTTGAGATTCTGAAGTGCTGAAAGCAGTGTTTGTGTGTTTTTCCCACTTAATAGCTTCATCCTACTTGTTTTTCCTTCATGGATACCCAAACAGGCTCATTCCACTTCTCCTATCTTCACTTTTACTTTGACTTTTGACTTCTCAACGGCATCATCACTCCAAACTCACATCATATTCTCCCCATCACGTATTCCCCACAATTGGCCGGTTTCACTATCACCTGCCGAGTTTGCCGGCCCTGTCTATTATGCGTACCAATGTTTTTTAGGGCCAGATGGCCGCTTTCTGAGCCACGGGGATGGCGCAAGGGCAGCAGCCTTACATGAAGCAGCAGGCTGTCTTGCTTTCTTTGCTGTCAGAGGGAGCAGAGAGGGAGCAAAAGAGGTAGATGAGCTCATTCAAGCTGTGGATGTATCTAAAAGCCAAATGAATGCAATCAGTGTAGTTTGAGACCTGTTTAGATCCATTACACTTTCACCTGCCAATCACTTCTGCATGTATGCTGCAGTTTTTTTTTCCACCCCGCTGATGGCCTAAGGCGGCTACGTCAGAGCGAGGCATGTGGCATTTTGTTGCTGAATGGACCGATGCCTCAGCGGAGGCATTTCAGTCGGTCAGTGGTTGAATTTTCCCAGTGGAAGCTCAGAGGGCCAAAACATCCGGAGGGAGTCTCGGAAATAGAAAGGATATATCGCTCAATTGACTTGGGAGCGCTCCAGGATCCCCCAGTAAGAGCTGGAGAGCGATCCTGTGGAGAGAAACATGTTCTGGCTGCCGATGCTGCAGCCTGCAGCAAGAAGTTAAAACGCCGGTGGTCAATGAAAAGACGGAGTTTTTGTGGACAATGTTTAGACAGCAAAAGCAAAGTTACTGTGTTAGTTTATATGAATATGAGTGTACCATAAGCGAGTGAAATGGAAATGGATGCATTTGTAGTTTGAAAAGCAGCCAGACTTCCAGAGCAGTAAAATAAAAAAAATCATTACAACTTTTTCTACTGTGCTTGTTCCCCACTTAAAAGATCGATTTGAAACTTTAAGTTAACTTTGCAGTCCTTTGTGTCCAATTTTTTCCTAATTATTTGAAGTCATTTGTTCCCAGCCCTAAATGTGGCTTATAATGAGCACAACATGATGATGCAGAATGATGCATGGGCCTATTTTTTAGGATGACAAAATAAAACCCAATGTAACATTAAGAAACCCTAGTGGGATTCAATCATAATATATATATATATATATATATGCAAATATAGATAATGTTAACATCCAGTTCTCAAAGCAATAACACTCGAAAGGAATTGATCAGGACTGTTTTGGTGCCTCAAGAGGTATTATTTCCATTTATTTTAAAGCTCAAGGCAGCTGGAGCTGTCTGAAGAAATCTGAGATTAAGTTTATCCATTCCATTTATGACTCATTATGGATTACTTTTGGAAAAAAAACGACAGTTGAACAAAATCACCTTTTCAAGGATAATGGCTCAATTTATGGTTTAATTCTTCTCTTCTAGAAACCAAAAGCAAAAGCAGAATAAAATCATTTAATAAAACTGTTGCAATAAAAGATTTCATTAAGGGTGGGCCTGGACAAAACAACGTTGCCCTTCCAAATGGCTCAATTTTACCACCTCTTCATCTGAACAGCCTCTGTAAATTTAGATGAAGTTCAGGATTTTATACCCCTTGCTTTTTTACATATATTTTGACACATGAAAATGATCCCCGGGATTGGTAAACTAACTTGTTTGGACCTTTAGTTTTTTAAGTGTCATGTAACCTGTGTCGTGACACAATGCTGTAAAAAAAAAAAAAAAAGCTCCTTTTCTTTGATTTGCTCCATTTGTGCCTTAATGTTGACGCATTTCAGACGATTTCGAACCGGGGCTGAGAAATCACTCCTATTGTCTAGAATATGTGAGAACACATCATCACCTTTCTGTGCTTCATACATCAGAGCCCTAACACAAATACACTTAGGTTGCCCCTCGTTCTCGGCTAACATGGCCCCAACGCTCCACTGCTCTGTGCTGATGACGGCTTTGGTTCAATTGGAAGAAAATCGGCTGCTCAGAGTGCTTGTCAGGTGCTTCTTCATGTTTGCCGAGGCTTTCATTCATGGGTAAATTCATTCTCTTCCAGAGATAAATGATGATGGAGGGGAAATTAGGGGCTTTTTATCCATCATCCTCACACAAAGGATTCTACAGGGAGCCCACTTTCTGAGCTGCAGAACTGCCTGCACCACATCAAATAAGTCCCTAAAAATGCCTTTGGGCCAAACCTTTACGTGTCACATTATATATTTTTCTAATTCAGGTCCTCCTTCACAACCAGCCACTGCGGCAATGATAGTTGTCCATGTTCCGCACTTCATTCCAATTTCGTTTTAATCCTTTTTCACCGGGGATCATTAATATTGATCCACTGGCTAATTTTTCAGCTTAATTTGGCCGAGGACGCAGGTCACGAACTTGAGTGCTTAAGTACCTGAGACTCGGAACTAAGTGGCCATCTTGGGTCAGAGAAGGGGCTGCTGTCCAAGTTAAGTTAAATGATGGACACCAAGACTGTCGTTCCCACAAGAAGTAAACTTGAGTCAGATGCATAAAAGGCATCCACACACGTCGGCCATGTTGTAGCCTCTTCATCACCTGTTGTATAACAACTTCTGAGAGTTCCTTCTTGTTTGGGGGCACAGTGTAAACTTGATTTAGGATGTAAATAGGAAATAAAGCCCAATAATATACCACAAAACTTAAACATTTTGGAGAGCAAACAAAGAATTTACAGTTTTATTCTTCTGATACGTTTTTCACACTCACCTCTACAAGGTGTGTCTTGATTCTGCTCATGATCACGAAATCAATGTGAAACGATCGTATGAAAGCATTGTGTCTTTGGTAATCTTCATTTTTCACCCCAAAAAAGGTCTGCAGAAAACGTTTATGGCTCAGCAGTGTGTAAATCATACCAATTTACCCTTTTTTGTCATGAATAACCCCTTCAATTGACATATTGAGAAAATTTGAAGGGACAAAATTTGAAGGGGACATTTTCATACTTATCTTGTATAAAGGAAAAAGCATGAGGACCACCTCCTGTATAGAGTCTAATCCTTCAAATCAAAATGATTATCTAACAGCTGTTATATGCCGTGATAAAGGAGCTAATCTGCAGTGAAACCAGTCACAGGTTTTCTATCATATGCTGGGCATATTGTAGAGTAATAGATATTTCCGTGAGTTCTCAGAATCATTTAATGAGACTTTCACTATGTCCTGCTTCCCAAGACAAAAGGTCGAACTGTAATAATGACACTATTTCTCCATGCCCTATGCTAATGCTGCTGGTTCAGCCAGTGGAACACATGTGATGATGGTGATGAATCTCTTACAGGTTCACTGTGACCCAGTGTCTGCTCCTTAATTGTATCATCATCCTGATTCGTTCCAAAGCGACAAATGGGGCTATTTAATCTATTCTTCTCCCTTGCAAATCTGTGAAGGAGCAAACAAAGACTTTTCGTGCAGAAAAGAAGGCAGCGTTTTTAGTCTTTTCACCGCGCCGTTTTTAGCTTTTGAGATCATATCACTTCTCTCTCCGGTGCCTCGCAACATTCTTTATATTTCCTCATGGTAACAGGGGAGTCCAATTAAAGGCAAAGCTCTCCACTCCCCCAGTATTTGTGCGCTTGTACTCCAGGTTGCCAGAGGAAACACGCGCTCTCAAAGCAAAGCGGAATAAACAGGTGCACTTCATTGAGCAGATCAGTGAAGAATACATTAGACTGGCATTCATTCTCTGCCTCTTTCGTTTGGGAGAAGCTCAGCTTCAGCTGCCCATCAAACATCGATAAGCCGCCGCCTGCCAACCTAGACAACAAGTCCAGGGAGGGAACACTGAGTCATCGTGCCTCGACCTCACTGTCAAAATTCAAACCGGGATTGTCAACTGAGTGTGGGTAAAGTCTCCCAGATCAGAGATAAACGGTGGCACTTCAACTTGTCTTAGAGAGAAGATGATGAAGCCACCGGCAGGGTTTCGGTGTGCTGTACTGATTCTGTCACCCACGATGGCAAGGAAGTAAACACTCAGTCACTTATTCATAAGAACTGAAGATTTTCAGGGCAGAACGCTGCACGCTGTCTTCACCTTCACACTGAAAATCATTCAAAAGAAGGCAGTCAATTGAGCATCCCCTTACGTCGCTGTTGAACATAAAAATGATGTACAAAACAGAAAAACATATATTTTGTACTGACTGCATGGCAGTCTATATAACACCACTTGTGGTGACATTTTAATGTGATTTTTGATGAAATTTGAATCCCCGATAACATTTTCTATATTGTGTATGTGGAAGAGAAATTGCGAACAAAAGTTGTTCTCCTGGAAACGACAACTGAAGGATATGAAGCTCTAATCACAGGATAAAAATGACCACTTGGCTTTCAACTTTGTATTGAACTGCCATCTTAGCATCAAAGCAGATACATAGGCATAAACCATGGAAGAAAAATCCCCTTCAGTGGCAAATGTTTTTCATTCTAGACGTCACTCAACTCTATATTATCAATACATTACATTTTAAGTTGCTCATGACAAAACCAAACAAAAAAAGGTTTAGCCTTTCATTTGAACAGCTATGTGAACATTTCTTTTCTTTAATACATTGAGTCTTGTCTCACATTTGTAGTGGGGTAGCTCTCCAAACTACCTCAAAACTTCCCTTAATGTCTATAGGTTTTTAGCATGTCAAAAGGATACAAAACCCAATGCATCATAATCAACCATAACATTAAAAACAGGAAATAGGTTAAAACGTGGTTTTCTGCAGAGATTAAAGTGCATGTGCCCCCCCAAAAAATGTCCTCTTGCTACAATTTTAGATTTCATGGGCAGCTATTATCATCCAACCAGCCAGCCTAAATTCTAAAATTCCAGACCTAATCAATAGGCCAAAAATCCTTCTTGGTTCTGAATTGTTTCAAAGTGACACTGAATGTGAATGTTCATAATATTTTTTCCCCTGCGTTTGGCCTGATGAGTCAATGAGGTAAGTGAAGCTTCTGACACCTTTTATGAGGGTTTTGTTTCAGCCGTATCCCCGTCAAACACACATAGGCGTTAATTAAACCCTTAATTTAACCTTGATTTAACTTCAATTAGCTTATTTAACCTTTCCTGAACGAACCACATGAGTAATGATCAATTCAAAAAGTTATCATTCAGTTTGTTACTATGGTGTTGCTGAAATAAATTTCCCATGATGCCCTGGGTTTACTGAGCGATCTGCAGAAATAGTTAAAATTAAGAAACGTTTGTGTCCTGAGGGCATTGTGAGAATCATGGGAATGAAAGGGACAGGCGTGTGCACATTTTCCCCATGTTTGCCTAGCTCTGGCCTCCTCCCACAGTCCACAAACATGCATGTAAGATGAAGTACTCTAAAACCCTCCGCCTCCCAGACCCTAATATGAAATAAATTGTCTAGACAATGGATGTCGCATTTTAGGCTTCTGGGCTGCCTCTTTTAATATGCTAGGTTTGAACAGCTGCTACCTCATCAAAGTCTCTGCTGGGGCTTTGTGGTAATAGGAAGTGAAATTTAAAAATGAGGAAAAAAGAAAGTGTTAAAGCACACGCCTGAATTTATCTAGCCCATCTCTCAGGATAGGACTAATCTCGGAGTAGTGTTGGCTGGTGTTATGGATAGAAAATGGCTTTTTGCTGGTCAATCTTTCTGCCACTGTAACTGGCTTTACTGGAAATGGTAAAAGCTGTCTGCCCGATTCTGAAGCCTGAGAATAAACCAGAGAAATGATCAGAGTACAAATGTGTATTTATTCATGTCACATGTTAAGTATCTGGGCTCTTAACTGACAAAGCTCATTGAGGATCTCTATCAGAAAAGAGCCCAGATGTCCGGGTGTGAGTGTCCTTTATCTTCTTGGGCTGGCCCTGCCCCGTACAATAGGAGGCCTGGACGCCTCCGAGTCCCATTGGCCAGTCCCCTCTGACATGATCAGGCCAGCTCCTCTGAGACGTGATAAGAAATGTGTGTGCTTGAGCGTTGTCCTTGAAGACGTGTACCTAATGTTCTCATAGAAAGAAGAGGGATTTGGAAGTACAACCATAGACATAGCATGAGTTCAGTGCCTGAGTATAATTACATGAAATCCAGTAATAAAGTCAAAGTACAACTCTAAAGTGAGTTAATATTAGTTAATCCTTACAAAGCCAAAAAGGTAATGACCCGCATGACTTTTCTCACATATTTTTTGAGTTACGCTTTATAATCTTGACATGTAAAAATCTGCACTTCTTTAGTCACTTTTTCTATAAACAAACAGTCCTACACTAAGAATTCTAATACAACGGGGTAGGAACTTTTGAATCAAAGAATGTGTCAGAGTGATGAAGGTTTCTGTTTTTTAATTGAGGCCTCTGACAGGTAGAAATGACTCTAAATGAACCACAAATAAGAGACAAGTTGAGTTTAACACTTTTTTTAATTAGGTGTACATGCAGTAGGAGTTTTCATTCAATAAATATGATTGAAGACATACATTAAACACACCTGTGCAAAATGAAACAATCAATACGTTAAAAATATAAATATAGCCTGAGAATCGAACCATTTCATTCTTTGCTAAATCTACACCCTCTCAGAGGATTGTAAATGACTTCTTTGGAAATAGCCCCATGCTAGAACGCCAGACGTTTTGGGTGAGTGCAGGTAAACTGCCACGTGCTACAGCAGCACATCTATAGATAAATATCAGCAAGTACGAACCGTTCTAAGGACTGAAGCAGCACGGGCCGATTAGAGAACATACAGAAGCTGTGGCAGATGGTCTGCGTATGGCCTGTGATCCGCCAGCTGTTGGATTTAAAAGCATCACCCTCGCTTGGGAGTCCAACACGTTTTCGTGCAATATTTCTTTCTGAAGCTACTGACAGGAGAGTGTAAGGGCAATGGTGACATCTGCTGGATTTTTTTTTTCATGAGGAGCTGCCTTTTTACAAAGAGTAAAAAAAGGAATATTAAACTATTTCTTGCAATAAATAGTCTTCAGCAGTGTTCAAACAGACCGGATTAAGCTCATAGACTTTTAAGCCACATAAGATTGTCAGTACGAAGGCTACATTAAACAGCTGAGTGATATTTCAGAGGTTTCCTTAATATTTACAGCTTCAAACTGGGTTTTTTCTGTGACAGCTGCATGAGAGGTTAAGTTGGGAATGCGTGGCTGGTGGAATTATAGTTAGGAAGCCTTGCATAACCTGCACTCTGTGACAGTCCTCTCGCAATGAAGGAGGTTCAGCAATAGATTTTTGTTCTTTAAAACAAAAACAAAAAAGTCAATAATGGTTGCAAATCATTGAATCCGTCATGAGACTACATCAGTCGAGATTATACTTTGAAAAGTGCTAAAAATGAGGCACAAAGGCCCTGCTTGTTCAAGTTTAATCGCAGGTCATATGTAAGTCCCCATTTTTGGGGTCAGAGTCAGCATCCTGTGTGAGGTTAGTAAAGTTGCATGCTTTACCTAGTTGGTAATTGTTCAGAGGCTCATCAACCTTGCTGTGAGGACTCTCCCTATTTTCCCTTCCATTTTTCCTATCGAACTCCGCTGTGATCTGAGCCAGAGTCTTGCCCTTTGTTTCGGGTAACATCAGCCCTAGAAGCACAGCAGACACCGAGCACACGACCAGGAACGGCAGGAAGCAGTAGTTCCCCAGGGTATTCACAATGAAAGGGAACAACATTCCGACCGCGAACAGGCTGATCCACATGAGGGAGCCGGCGATCATGTAGGCCGCCGGACGAGCGGCCTGGTCGAAGATCTCAGCCGGTAAGATCCCCGTGACCCCGGCGGGACCCAAGCCGAAGCTGAGGATGTAGGAAAACACACACGCCATGCTGAGATAAGGCATCCCTGCCACCCCCCGGCTTTGAAGGATGAGAGCAATGGTGAAGACTATACTCCAACAGGACATGAGGCTGTAGCCGCCTATGAGAAGGTACCTGCGGCCCGCGCGTTCGATCAGGAGGTTGCTAAGGATGGAAGCGGTCAGCTCGGACGCCCCCGTTCCAATGGTGATATACTGAACTTTCCCCGGCGAGATCCCCGCCTCGAGGAATATGTAGGACGCGTAGAAGTAAATCGAATCGTTGCCGCAGAGCATCATGGCGCTGCTGGCAGTCATAACCGTCTTGAGCTGGGATCGTAGGTCACGATCCTTGAACAGGGTCCAAGGCGTCTTGGAAGGAGCTGAAGATCCAGGAGCTATGGCCGCCGTCATTTGCTGTTGCTCTTGAAGCATCTCTTCCATCTCCGAAGGGGGAACCTTGCCCCCACGGAGTCTTCCGAGAGCCCGGACACACGCCTCCTTATCGCCGCGATCAATGAGGAGGTACCTGGGGCTTTCCGGGAACCAGGGCAGGGTGAGCAGCTGGATCATGGAAGGCAAGGCATTGCTGGCCAGTAAATAGGGCCAAAGAGGCTCTGACCCGAGCAGCTCGGTGATCCCCACAACCTGGCCCAGGAAAATCCCAAACGCGGTGAAAACCGAGGAGGACAAAGCCATGGCCCCCCTCAGGTGTTTGGGAGCGCTCTCTCCAAAGTACATGGGCTGAATGTTCATGCTTACGCCCGAGTTCACCCCCACCAGGAAACGAGCGAGAATTATCATCTCATAAGATCTGGCCACTTTGCAGGTCAGCACGAGAACGGCCCCGACAAGCAGGAAGGAGTTGTTCAGGAGCAGAGACTTTTTCCTACCGAAGCGGACCGCCATGGGACCCGCCAGCAGGGCTCCCAGCAGCCCGCCCAGCGAGAAAACCGACACGATGACGGTCCAAGCCAGAGTCACCTGCGGGCTGGTCAGGCTTTCGCCCCAGCGGTCGGCGTAAGTGTCGTTGATGAAGTTCTGGATGTAGGTGGTGGGAGCGTTCATGATTGAGATGTTGTAACCATACTGGAAGGTACCTCCGATGGCTGCGGAGCACACGGTCAGGGCAAGGGTCCCGCGACTACCTGTCGACGTGCTCGTTTCCTCAGTTTCATTTCCTCCCGAGGAGCTCATCTGAACCCCCTCCGTCACACGTGTGTGCTGCAGTCTTTCCTGAAAAACAAATTGTCCCAATGGCGTGCGCCTTGTGCCCTTCTGGTCTTAGTGTAATTTAGTCTGTCTGCTATCCTGTGTAACCAGTCCCTCTCTGCCCTTATCAGTTTTATCTGGGCACTGACATTGTGTAAGGAGGAATAACAATATTACCGGGGTCGAAGCCGGGATATTAGTATCATTTTATCCTCAGAAAGGGCTGCCAGGCGACACCTGTCAGATTCTTCCAAACGTAACTGAACCCCCTATTCTTCAACAAAAGGATTTAAAACATATCAATTGTATGTGACAATTAATTTATTGCTGACAATACTTTTATATGACATTTCATACCAAAGCCAATACGTATACAAACAGATTCAGATACGATGTACAACCTGTAAGTCAAAACTGAGGACATAATAATAGCACATATACGCACGTTTAAGCGCGCCTGAGGCTCGCTCGCTTGCCCGTGCGAAGTACAGGCTGCTGATTGGTTAGAATCGGGTTCAAACCCTACGTCATTTTCCTGTGCCTGTACTGTCGCATGCAGGTGAAAAATGTAAGTTTGGTTATTTGTTTTAATTAATGTTTGTTTTTACTCACATGCTTGTGGGTGACATGACACCTTAGGTTTTAATAGGGGTATTTTTTGGTTTTGAATGGCACGTACATTTCAGCCGCATCTCGTATGCTATTATTAGCTATTTAGCTAATGCTAACAAGGTGAAATATTTTATATGCCATTTGAAAGTTAAGGAAGTAAGACTTCAGCAAAGATATAGATTGCAGAAATAATGCACCGTTTCAAATTATTATTGAGAAAAATTCCATAGTATTAAGGTCGAACAATATTGATAGACGTATTTAAAAGACTGAATACAAGAGCGTCAAACATTCGTGACGCTTTAAATAAGAGGATCCTTGGTCAGGGAGTCCAGGTTTTATGTCAATGAATGAAAATTAAAGGCAAAGCCTAACAGGCAATCCAAGCAGTACATGAATCCAGTTTTTGCAGAAAAGTAACTTTTTATGTAGTGTAAATAGAAGTCGATACGAAACAATGATGGTGCTTGACAGGTGGAATAAACAGATTTCACACTCTGTCACTGTGAGCAAATCCTCACATTTACAGGCCCTGAACTGAAGTTAAGATTGAACGGCTTCATTCAGATCTGAATGCTATGCAGAGAACCTAGAATAATGTATTAACAAGCCATTAACAAACGGAACAACAACGGACTACAACAGCCTTTTTTACTTGGTGCATCACCATTTTAAGAAAGAACAAGCCAGATGTTTAGTGTCTTATTTCTTGATGATTTCACAAGCAGTTAGTATTATTTACATAAGAAAGTTCTTACAACGAACATATTTACAAAAAAGCATTTCCAAAATGCACATATTTGTTGCCATTTTTTTCTTTTTTAAACAAAATTACTCAGAGTAATGCTCTGACCCCCTTTCTGTTCTCCAGCTTAGATAACAGATAATTTTCTCCTACATTTGTTTGCAAGCTGGGTTGTTCAGAGATATTTTGTGCAATTCGTGTCACTCCTCTTTAACAGTTGAACGAAGTGTTTATCGTGCTTGGCTATGTAGGAAGGATGACTGCTTCATCATCTTTCGGGGCTGTCGCGTCATTGGCAGTTCTCATTGTTTGCTTCTTTGATTTTTTTCAATTTGTTTGATTTCTTTATATTTTTTTAGTCAACCCCATGTGAAACGGTTCGGGTTACATGGATACTTTGTGTTTCACATGGGTTCCTTAACATTTTGTGTAGGTGATATAATTCCAGTGACTTTGGACTAAGCTCCATCGAATCCTTTCTCTTTTTTTCAGGGCGCCTTCTCTAACAAAGAGGAAGGAGGACGACAAGAGTAAACAGCGGGGTAAGGAGAAGTCGGGCTCCACGAAGGACGGGGCTGACAAAGACCGCGGAAGAGACAAAAACCGGTCCCGACGCAGCGCGTCCAGCGGCAGCAGCAGGTCCGTTTCTGCTCTTAGCCAGCCCTTTCTGTGTTTCCCACCTTTGTCTGGGCTGCTTCATTTAATTATTCGATCCAGTTTTGTGAACGAGCTCCCTGATCAGATGGATCCCGTGATGAAGTCTGACCTGTCGTTTAGGTCCAGCTCCAGCTCCAGCAGCAGCTCCGGCTCCAGTTCCGGCTCGTCCAGCGGCTCCAGCTCCTCCGCCTCCAGCCACTCGGGCTCCTCCAGCTCCCACTCCTCGTCCTCCTCATCCTCCTCCTCCTCGCCAAGCCCCAGCCGGCAGCGCCACAACAACAGACGACGCTCACGCTCAAAGTATGGAACCAGTGTCTGAGAAGTGGATGTGAACTGAAAGAGGTTTTTAAGATGGTAACTGATTGGTTTTAAGGGAGCTTTGGAGGAGGGTCGAAATAAAGGTAAATGTCTCAGTAGGTCAAAATCGGCGAAGAAGGACGACAGGGAACGGCGCCGCAGGAGCCCCACACCTAAACCGACCAAGGTCTACCTGGGTCGGCTGACCAGGAACGTCATAAAGGTAAACTGGGAGCCATGAAACATGCTTTTCCTAGAGCGTATAGATCCTTTCTGACTTCATTGTACTAGCCTTAATTCAAACTATGAGGGGAGATATATATGCTGGGAAATAATTGTGGTTCCAGAGCACTTATTCCCATGAGATAAGAACAACAGGTCAAAATGATTTTAAGATTTTGTACATTCCAATCTCTTTGTTCTCAATGGGGCCCAGTGAAGGGAGGAGGATGAATGAAGTAAACTAATAGTCTCCATATTAGGAGATATTGATTCCACTGGCTTCACAAAGATAGAATAAGTTCTCTGTTGTTTTTTGTTTTTTTTAAAGGAACACGTCCAGGAGATTTTCTCCACTTACGGCAAGATCAAGATGATCGACATGCCCATGAACCGTCTGCACCCTCACCTTTCCAAAGGCTACGCTTACGTGGAGTTTGAGAGCCCGGACGAGGCGGAGAAGGCCCTGAAGCACATGGACGGAGGTGGGAGGAATCGGCGGAATGCGTTTTGCGAAAGCCTCCCGTGAGACCACGCGATTTCAGCCCCGTTCTCTAACGGGAAACTAACGCGTTTCAGGTCAGATCGACGGCCAGGAAATCACGGTCACGGCGGTGCTGGCTCCCACAGTACGGCCCCCGCCCCGCCGGCTGTCCCCGCCCCGAAGGATGCCCCCACCTCCCCCGATGTGGAGGAGGACCCCACCCAGAATGAGGAGAAGGTAACCGGCATGGGAGGAGCCTGCTTTGCTGTCTCAGTCGACCCCCGTTAGTTCCCCCATTTCCAAAACCTTTTTTTAAAAGAGGTCAAAATGCTCATTTTTTTCCCTAAATAATAACATTAACAAATATCAACTTCTCAAAACTTTTTTTTTTCTGTTTGTAGAAATAAATCCCAGTTCCCCTCAAGACCCAATCACATTTGAAATGTGACCAATCCAGAAGGCTGTAATTTATTAAATATACATTATATAGCTATATATATATATATATATATATATATTATATTATATAGCTTTTATAGATGCTGATCCATCAAAGCTCAGACACATAAACATGTTTAATTTCTTCTTTGGCATAAGTCAAATACAGCTTATTTAACCTTCTCAGTCACATTAAGTCAGGTTGTAGATGACACAGAGAGAACTCCTTTTTTGGAAAGTCATTACATATTTTTGCTGCTACATAGCATGACTGTGACTGATATGACCCTGACTAAGCTCTGACTAATCAAGGCAATAATAACCTCGATTAAAATTCCAGAAAAACAAAGGGTGACATAAGGTGGGAGAATGTTGCTGATAAACGCCACCAGTAGCTGATGTAATGTAGGATTGTGCACATCAAGCGACTTTTAAAACAGACGTGACTCTGACATGGCCAAGAAAAGGTCAGAATTACATTTGGAATTCCTGTTCAGTATTCAAAACCTGCATACTTGCTCTCATCGTCTGAATGTAACCCGAATCCAAACCTGAAAACTCGCACATTGCGGGCGGCGAAAATGTCAATATCGAAGTTTATTTTCGGCGTTTTGTTCACCTTGCACGTTAGCCGACCCCCAATCACACCACACTTCAGAAAGCACACAACACACACAGTGTATTTAAGCCCCCGAGATTCAAATTTTTTGTAATAGACTCAAAATCTTTTTGATTTCCACTCAAATTTCTTTCCAAACTCTTTAAAAAGTTCCTTGCTAAGAAAACCAGCTATTTGCAGAGAATCTTCTCGTGGATCCAATCCTCCATGCTGAGTGTGCACGAGGCGACTGTGGAAAGAAAGCACTCCCTTTAAACAGGAAGTAACCTCTGCCAGTGGGAAGAGGGACGAAAAACCCCACAACAGCAGCCCAGGATAGCTGAAGAGAAGTTAATAACAGCAACAGTAGCTCATCTATATGGAAAAAAGGGCCAAAAAGGAGAAAAAGAGGGAGGGAAGGTGCAGCATGGGAGCTCCACCAGCGGCCTCGGCCTACAGCAGCATAGCTGTGGGATGTGTCGGGGTCACCTGAGCCCTCCCAAACTATGAGCTTTGTCCAAACAGAAAGTTAGAGGCAGAGAGGACGTCAAATGCTGCTATCCGGTTCCATAAGAGAGGATGGCCCAGTTCCCGAGGGCCCCCTCCTTCACGTTCCCGTTCTTTCCCATCACTCCCCGCCGTTTCGGTCTCATCGTATCGACACAAAAACACGGCTCATGTTTCTGTGCGTAGGGGAAAAACCCAGGGTTCAAAACTGCGGGCACTTTCCCAGCACGGAGTGGATGTTTGAAAGAAAGGCGAAGAAAAGGTTTCAACTCTGCGAGTTCTGCTTCTTTAATCTCAAGTGGTTCCCATGCCGATTCCATGCAATGGAAGCGGGTTTTTTCTGTTTTGTTGAATGCAGTTATGACTAAAAGCAACAGGAAAAATGTAGAGTAAGGAGAGATGATAACTGGTTTAGTTTTGCCGGAACTCAGGAGACTTAGATGAAAATGCTTAAAGTGGAGATGCTTTGATGGAGGGTAGTTTTGTTGATTTTTTTGGGGCTTTCCCCCCCCATGCTTTACTCTGTCTCACCCCCCTTTTCCTCCTCGTAGATCTCGCTCTCCTCGGAGACGCTCTCCCGTGCGGCGCAGATCCCGATCGCCAGGCCGCCGCCGCCACCGCTCCCGCTCCAGTTCCAACTCCTCCCGCTAGAGCCGGCCCCCCCCCTTTTACACAAACACACCCTTGATGTTGTCTTAGTGGTCTCGTGTGGAAGATTTGGTTTCTAATTGATGAAAGGAGCATTCATTATTTTAGCTTCTAGCTACCGGACACGGTTTGGTGGAGTAAAACTCGTTTTATATTGTAGGTTTACTTGGCTTTAATTTTGTTTTATGTAGATGTGTACAGCACCAGTACTCGCTTATTATATCTGGTAAGGAAAAAAATATTATTTTTATTTTTGTAAAATTGGCTCAAAAAAAGGTGTAATTGGTTTTATTAAAGCAAAACAATATCTCAGTGTATGAAGCAAAAGTATTTGTTTGTAACAGCATGTGTTTTGTTTGGTCCCCCCCCCACTTACTTTATCTGACAATACAATATAAAAATCCCATGAAATGTGAAGTTATTAAGTAACTATTATTATATTATTAATTATTAAAACAGACTCGGACGAATCCAGATACTTTTTGGGGTCATTTCTTTCAAGAGATGTGGCTTTTTTTTTGTTTTTTTGTTTTTCTTTGAATCTCCAGTTTCTGTTGGAAGTCATTTGGTTGGTTTTTGTGGGACCCCTGCTGTAGGAAGTGAAAGAGGCTGGTCAGGGAAGACCCCGCTGTGCATCAGGTCCACGTGGAGCTCTTATTTATTCATTTGCCTCGGATTTCTAGTGTTCCACATCTAGGCAACTTTGCGGAACTCGACAATTCTCTCTTTTTATTTTTTTTACAAATGTATTCTTAAACTGTGTAAATAGGCCAAAAAGCAGCATTTCCCAGCTGCCACCACTAAGCTTTTGGACTACAGCAATGATTTATCATCTCTTAAACATCTTATTTCATCAACCTACCAGTACAGCATGGTTCTGTTATTCTTAAATTGTGTCATATTTATCATATTTCAGATTTTTCTTCTCTGGAACGTCAGTATAGCTGCTGAAAAATGAAAAACTCTACAAAGGGAACAGGAAGTGGTCTTTCAGAATCAATGGCATTTCAGCCTGATTTTGTTGGGAGTGTGATCATCGGACAAGATGATTCATCCCAAACAGATGAGGGAGTGAATAATGCTCTTTTATTGATAATTTTGTGGTCAAAGTTGTGTGGAATGGGTGTCGTTTCCTTGCTTTTTGTTAGTCATGTGCCTTTAGTGTCAAGTCATCTCGCTAATATTCAGGCCTTTGAATTCTTTTTTCTTCTTTTCTTCTTTTTTTAATTTATGGAATCTTTCAGGTATGTGCTTAGCCTATGAAGCACATTCTTCATCCAACTGATTCCATCTTCCTGTTACAGCCGTTAACAGATCAGTCTTTTTGTGGATCTTCCCCCCCTCATCTTTCCATAAAAAATGTCATTGGGTCTGAGACCTGGACACATTATGCATGTTTTTCATGTCCCATAGTAATGCCCAAAGTAAATCCTCACACTGCCTAAAACATAATACTTTTTCTAAGTTTAATTGAAGATAGGAGTTATCCCACTACTTTGGATGGCATCGTTTTATTGACATCCAACGTGGGAGCCAAACCTAGTCAGATCTGGGTTTCGTACTCCTCTCACTGAGGTTGTGACAGAGCCGTTTGGAAACGCAACTGCCTCTTCTGGACTGAGGGCGTGTACTCCCTCTTTCAGCCCGCTCCTATTTATACCGCGTCTTTATCTGTGCTCGTCACAGTTCAGCACATCCAGCAAAAAACAAAAACGCTCCCACCAGAACTGACGATGGCTTTCCCTCGCATAGGACTCGCCTGTTTGCCGATGCTGTTTCTCTTCTTTAGCCAAGGTTGGTAAAAACTGATGATCACTATTGCTGCCACAATCTCAAAGCATCTGTTTGCGTTTCTCTTTTTTAGGATGGAACATTTGGAATGTTATGTGGAGGGAACTACATTTGTACCAAAACGGATCTTATTAATCAGTGTTGCCCATTTTTCCACAATAGGGAATCCACGTTGCTCCAATCCTTTAACAAATATTTTAATCCATATCGAACCCTCCTGCTGCACATCAGTCTCAAACCAAACGATTAATAAAGCTGTGGATGCCTGCTATGTGCAGAGGGACACGACATTTTCTCACTGCAGAATAAGCGCGTACATGTAAGTAAAAACTGCTCAGCGACGCAAACTTCCTATTGCTTTAGTGTGCATTGCTGCCCAGAGTTGGACGTTTGTGTCTGGAATATGATAGAAATGACCAAATATGTTGTGTTGATTTTTTTTTTTTAACCAATTCGGCCCTCCCAACTTTACAGCTTCACAGTAAATGAAGAGGCCTGGTGTGTGGATCCGAGAGCCCCGTGGCTGAAGAAAAGGCTCAGGAAGTTAGAAAAGGTAAGTCGGCTGTCCCAGTTCCACTGTGCGCTCCTGTTTAGGATTTGACTCACGCTCGATGCATTTCTTTTTCTCTAGCGAGGCATATATTGTAGAGTCCTTTGAGGCCTCTCTGACAGCGGTTCAGAAGATGATACATCGTGTCCTTCCGTGGAAAAGTCCTCCGGAGGCCGTTTTTGTGTGGGTTTAAAGCAAGCTTCCTATGCTGTTTCTTTGTAAAATTGTTTTAAGGATATCATCTGCTTCTACTGTCTGCAATCAAATAAGAATAACAGTTTCCTATTACTGCTCATGAGATAAAAAAGCCTCTACCCATCAATAAAAGTTATTTGTTTCAGACATTCTTTCTCCAGAACTTCCTGAACGGCTTAAAATAGTTGAACTAGTGTTTAATATTCAAACCGGTTTGTAAGTTTAAGATAAATAAGATGATCTGAATTTTACTGATCCCAGAATATCTGAAAATGTCTGATTTTATAATGAAAATATGGAAAAAAAGAAGAAAAAAAGAATAACCAGTCCATGTCAAGGTGTCATCCTAGTTTCTTTGTATATAGCATGATTTATTAAAGGATATTATCATTAGTTTAAAGACTTGGAGCCATTTTCTCACCTTTAAATCTGGGGTGGAAATTCCCTCCCAAAACATTAACCATAATCTGGACCAAATTCTATTTGGATTGCTGTAACTTTAAACCTGTTGAAATATGTTGAGATAACCCTTTGTTGCAAATTTGCCTCCAATAGATCCCATTTATTGAAGCTAAATTTATTAAACACAGCAACACAGTAGTTTAAATAGAAAAGATTTATTGTCATTCAAACAAGCATCTGTATATGATATATACAGATATATATTTATAAATCATCTTAATATATTAGACATTTTCGCTTTCTTTAGCCTCCTGTAGCCTCATTCAAGCGACAGCCGTAAATAATATCCTCCAGCTGCGTTCACACTCAACCCTTGAAACCGTCCCTTTTCTCGTTTTGCACTCACGGCAGTCTCTTTCCTTTAGAATGTTCTTGTGAGGCCATTTCCTTTCAACGCCAGATTCTGGGGCGCTGCACATCAGTGTTTGGCATCTGCGTTTTCTTGGCTGGGAGGAGGCTCCATCAAGTCTTTAAATCCCAGTTTCTCCAGAGGCTCTTTGGCCATGAGCTGACTGGAAAACACGAGATCGGTGCAGCCATTTAAATGTTTACATTGAACTGTCTAGAAAAAAAAGCAGTGCTTTTAAATCGGCTTCCTTACTTGTTCATCCTGCACTCCAGGTAGTCTTTGGACTGCAGTCGGCACTTGGAGTTGTCGTAGCTGCTCTCCCGCAGGCACTTCATGAAAACCTCTTTGAAGGCTTTGCACTCCCCTGAAACGAAAGCAAAATTGAATCAGACTGAATGACCAGCCGGGCAATGAGATTTTAAAGAAGTCTGTGATGTTGGCAGAGAGTGTTTTGCCTTTTAAAAGGTGTTCAGAGAGAGCTAGTATACACAACACAGGTTTGAAATGTACAATTATCTTAAAATGTAATGTCTTGTGCCACCCGCGAACAAAGTAAACTCTAGAATAAATATGGAAGAAAGCTGAACGATGTATGATTATAACTTCTCACTGGAAAAAGAGGTTGTATTTCACAACTAAAATAGGCAGAATTAGTTGAAAATGATATTAAAGAATGAAAATACAACAAGAAAGGAAGTATGTCTTTGGTGCACACAAAAAAGGAAGCCAATAAAACACTAACTGACCCTTTGCTTTGTCATTTGACACCAAAATAATTAACCACAAGTCACTTCCTATAAGAGCCTCCTTAAACTACTACGGTGGGCTAGCATCACAGACATCAGATATCATGTTTTAGTACTCTCCTGTTTTGGTCGTATGACAGAATTAGTTGTTTTGGGTTGTTTAGTCTGTGGAGTGTCGAGACCATAACAAAGGAATGACGTATTTCAGGTGAGACGCGAACGCGACGGTTAATCCCGTCAAAGGTAAATTAGCAATATGTCAGCAGCTTTATAATTGTATCGACGAATATTTAGTCTTCACGGTGAGGTGTTTCTATTCATGTCATTACAAAGGTTATCGATGTTGCTTTGATAAGCATCAATGAGACCTTTAAAGTCTGATGATGAGTAAAGTATAATAGGGGTCTTAAAGAGGAAAGCGTTATCACTAAATGCTAGCAATTGATAAATATGTAGCGCACCTGGCACTCTAATGCAAATACAATATAATACGATATATGGATGTGAACCTAAGATATGGGCAAATGTACTGAAACAACCACTCTTAATTTCTCAATTTTTTTTAATCATCTTTACAAACCAACCCCCATTAAAAAATATTTGAAACACATCGACTCGTTTATTTAAAATACGCCACTGATGTGTTATTCAACCATACGTGCATCGTCCACTCACCAAAATGATCCAGAGGGAACGAGCCCTTATCGGGGGCGCGAGGTCTAAAACTCTTTGTGCCAAAATTCATCGCCGTAGACATGATGATGTTTTTTAAACGAAAACTCGAATGAAACGAAAACCACAATATCTATGTAGTACGGTATTCTTTCTCGAATCAACTCTACGAATGTCTCCCTCAGTGACCCCGGCGTCGCACAAATATGACGTATTATTTGGGTTTCTCCGCTGATAGACATTACTATTCGAATGGATAGCATCGATTGTTGAGCAGACATCAAAACCGGACCACAGAGCACGGCATACAGAGCCTCCCATAGCCACCAAACTTAACTGAGACGGGATTCCAGAGGGGAAACAACGACCAAACGCAAGATTTTGAAAGAAATGCCAACTGAGCTCTTACACAGCTCAAAATGTCTGCAGGAACAGTAAGACAAGAGGAAAGATGTTTGTCTTGCAGCACTAAGAAAATCTTTGTTGTGCCTCTCCACCCAATTTCTCTATTACGGCCAAAATCAAAGATAATCTCTTTGGTTTTGGAGGGGTTCAGATCCAGGTCGCACCACGCAGTCAGCTCCTTTTCCTCATCCTGGTGGGTGGGTTCTTCTTTGCACCCTGAAACTCTCAGGGTGTAAGGTATAGTGCTTTGAGAATCTTTTGTTTTCTTTCCTTTCCTGACTGGGGGCGTAAACTGAAGTTAAAGGAGGGTATTACAAAAAATATTGATTGTACACCCCACATTACTGTAAAGCCCTTAATCACATCTGGCTCCTCTGATTTTCATACTACTCACTTCTGTTATGGCAAACAAAACCGGAATTTCCAGATGTAAATTACCCTGAAGATAAATCTTCTTTTTCTTTTTTTCTTTTTTTAACATTTTAGTCTGTAGATTTAACTGTTGTTTAATTGGAGTCACTGGACTCAACAAACTGGGCAGCCCTTGTCACCTCTCTTAAAAGCTGGTGGGATGCATCTTAAACTACAGGTAAGTTAGACTTTTACATGATGTGTTTTTTTTTGTTTTTTTTTACTATTTGTCTGAAGTTATTAAGCGTTTGGAATGTAGGTTATTGGTACATGGAGAATTCTATTTTGGGGGATGTGCTATTTTGTAGTCTACCGCTGGATGTCTCGCTTCTATAAGACAGGAGAAGACGGTGGGGCTGGGGGGGAGGAGGTGGAGGTATAACCTATAGGCTTGATTATTATGCAGTCACCGAGACTTGGCGATAGAGCCGTCAGAGAAGGGGCAGAAAGAGGGGCTTGTCGGTGCGAATCATTCATTCTCGTCCGGTCCAGGTTTTTTTTTTCCCCCTCTCCCCTCCTCCTCACTGGTCTTTCTTCTCCGGTCCAGCTGAAATCGGAGGTGACAGGTGACCGGGACGCCGGCAGCGGATGATCTCCGGCGGACCTCCTCCCGACGCGGCCGGACTGGACGGAGGGAACGCGCCATGGCGCTGGAGCCGGAGGGGGACAAGCTGCTGCTGCAGGACGTGCTGGCGAGATCCGGCAACGAGACGTGCGCGGACTGCGGCAATCCAGGTAAGACGGTCCGCTTTCCCCCCTCCCCGGATCCCCGGAACCCCCGAGCCCCGGAGCCCCGGTGCCAGGGTTTGCGCGTCTGCGCTCCGGCATGACCAGGGATGATGGAGAGAGAGAGAGATCTGGCACCTGAAAAGCCAACAAGTCTCTGTCATTCTCCTCCGCGATGACAAAGGCCTGTCTGAGGGGGATAAAATCTTATTTTCTTCCCTTCCCTTCCCTTCCCTTCTTTTTTCTTTTTTTTTTTTGCAGGCAGACTCAGGCCTAACAGAGTGGACTCTAGACCTAAGACAGTCATAAAGGCGCAATAGTCTCATGTATGCCGTGTCAGTTGTGATATGAGTGTGCAGACATGCCACCCCCCCCCACCTCCCTCCCATCCACATTGTTTTGTCCGTGTGTGGTCTGGCGTCATCACACACAGGCAGCGATCTCACGTCCCTGCATTTATTGCTAGTGCATCCTTACCACCAAGTTTCTTTTCATGTCCAGAGGTGTCAAAACCCCCCATATATTGCTCTGCGTTCGTTATCTCTGTCTGTAAAAGTAAATGATTTCCCATCTCTTAATTTGAGGATGAGGATCTCTTCATACTTTCCTAGCCTCCGCCTCCCTTTGTGCCCTCCCTTAATATATCTCTCCTCTCTATTGGACATGGCAGTGGACCAGTAAGTGGCCACTAAAGCTCCAGTGCGGGCCGAGTTCCCGGTGCTTGGAGCCAAGCCTGCCCAGGATGCCTGTTCCACGGCCCTGGTTACAGCTCCTGAGAGGACTGGCTGTAGCTGCTCTCTGCAGCCAGTAATAGTGGTTGCCAGAGTAAAGAAGAAGATTTCACGATGAATATTGTCTTTTGCGTGGACCATATCTTAAATAAGACAACTCTAATGTCCCAGTTGTGCCAAGTCCTGCCATCTCTGCTCTGTTTTGTTGCATTTATTTAGCTGCTTTTTTTATTTTTTCAATTTTTTCTTGCCTTATCACCTTTTCTTGAAACTGCCTGCTCCGTGCTCTTTTTCCATACAAAAGAATGTGATGACTCTGCAGAGATTTACATTTTCTGCCATAATTCGGTCTTGTAAAGTTTAAAAGTCAATATATGATATTTTTGTGTCTCACAACATCTCTAGAAAAGGTTGTTCAGGTGTGTATGGATATTGGGTGTATAAGTACAGACCTGCTAGCATGCACAAAGTACTGTTTGACTTTGTGTTCCCTAAAGCCTACTTGGCCTTGGGGAAACATTGCACCATCATTTTCCTCAGCGGAGACATTTGGTAAATATTTCCTGACAGGTACGCTGCTTTCACCGTTACAATCATCAAACAATCGAATTACGCCTCTGTCGGCCTGCGGTGGGACAGACGTTAAGTCTTCTGCATGTGGGAAATTATATTATTGCTCTGATGAAGGTGCTTGAATTACTTGGTGAAGTATCTTCTTTTGTTTTCATTACTCAATAGGTCCCTAGATCAGATTTTTCCTTTACCCTATTTTTCCTAGTAATCCTGGCGAAGCGTTCATCTTTTTCCTCTGCCTGCCTTCAGTCTAAACTCATTTCATGACTTTTTTGGGCAAAGATGATGATGAAAATGGATAACCAGCCATAGACCAAAGCATTGGGATTCCCGGTTTCATGGTTTATATCTCATAATGGCCAGACCATAAAATATGAATGCTGCTGTGGTGACTCAGTCCCTGGATGTGGACAGGTTTTTATCTCTGGCCTATGACTAGTTGGACGTCTTTGGCTTTTTTTTTTTTTTTGAAAAATATAAAAGTTTCAGTCCATGAGAGTAAGTAAATAATTGACTTTGGCGATGTAATGGGCTCACAAATGAAACCATGCTAAAAATGGAACTTTATTACGTGGAACAAGACTTTTTTAAACACATGAACAGGATTTGTAAAGCAATGCCATTTAACACCTAATGAAAAAGTGCATCTATCACACTTTCCTGCGTCTAAATGAGGCGCAGATGTCTATAGACCCTCCTTGTTTGCTTTATAGACATGTGTGGTGGTGTCATTTTTGCTCCGTTGGTGTGAACAGATTGCGGGGCGCCATCGTAGTTTCAGCAAACTCTGTAAAAAATGTCCCAAGACTTTTAGACACCAGTTACAATGACATGCCTAAAGGAACAATTCATACGTTTCACAGATTTCAAACATCTTTACCTTCATCCTGCCATTACCGTATATGGCAGGATCTGCAGATTTTGTCTATTAGCAGGAAGTTTCCATAATCCTCTTTTTTTTACTCATTTCTGTCAAATTTGATTGAATGATCAATGATATTTCGTGCAGGTAATTGCTAAATAAACTGCTGTGGCTGGTTTCCGCTACTCGAAAACCAGGCTTTGTAATGTTAAATGATGAAGAATGAACACCTTCATCCTCAATTACCGTTCAGCCCGTAAAACAAACAGAAGCCAACATAGGGAAATCTCTCTGGTCCAATACAACCGACCGAATTTAACCCAACTACATGGAAGTCAAATACAGTGTTCAACAACTTTGGTTTGCAACTAAAAACAAGCTAATTCGATACCAAAATGTATAATAAGCCATCGATAGCTATCTAAGAACATCTAGTTTACAAGCAGGGTTACTGAGGCAAAGATTAAGGGTGCTATTCGTCCATGGTCTCGTATGAATGATTTTATTGAAAGCTGCGGTGAATAAGAAGGTTGGATGACGACGTATGGTGTCACCGAAAGCCCAATATTCTGAAAATGACGCATGTCACCTCGCCCGCAGAAGACTGTATCTGTTGGGGGATTCCGACTCTTTCGTAAGTGATGTTTCCAGTGTCAATGTCTCAGCAGGTGGCACCGTAAACCTAACAGTCACACCATGAATCAGAGTGGTAATGGCATAAATAAATCATGCTATGCTGTGCGAGGTCTTGTGAGTAAACAGCCGCGTTGGGGAAGGAGGTACTGTACCTGAAACGGTTTCCTGCACTGACCAGATGACATCACCCGCACCGTTCAGATGAATCTGTGGTGACCATAACCAGCTTTATGATGGAAGACGAGGCCCTCTAAATCGGCAGCTGCATGACATCATATGACTGTGACCCCCCCCTTACACACACACACACCCACAGACATTTATTATCTGCGAATTAGCAGGCTCCCTTTGTAAAAAAACAGACCTCATTAGCCGTGACCCGGCGCCCTCTGTGAGCCCTGTTTTTATCCCCAACCGCAGATAAAGCTTCCATTAACCCAAAAGAACTCTGAAAACACACAAAGTCACTACACCGCTTGTGTGTGTGTTTTTTTTTGTTTTTTTAAAAATTATGCTTAGTCATTCTTACTCTGCCCTTCCTTAGCTTCGCGTACGCTTTTTTTTTTCCTCTCTTTCTTTTCGCCCTCCCTACCTTCCCCTCGGTCGGCGTGCTCCTGAGAGCACAGAGGCTGAGCTGGGAGCTTATACGGCAGGGTTTCTCTGTAGCTCAGCAGCATTGTGGCTCTGCCCTTTGCAGAGGACACGCGGATGAATTATTCTCCGAGGAGAAGCCTCGGCGGTTCACTGAGGTGCGAGAAAAAGAGGTTTGCTTGTGGACAGCAAAAAAAACAGCAGGGCTCCATTCTAATGGCTCCTGCCTTTAGAACCTTTATATATATATATATTTACACATTTAAAAGAAGGTGGAGAAAGAAAAGACTGTTTTGCACTGGCTAGCTCGGCCTCTTAATTAAGACAAGTGCAACTCCACATGATTGAAGTCGTCTGGATCTTATCGCTGTGCACGGCTGTTGTCGGGAGATATTATATCCATGTGGGATTCGGCCGCGTAGATGCTCGGAATTGAGGTGGCCCATCCTTCGGCTTAAAGGGCGGAAGAAAGATGCTATTAGCTTGGACTGTGGCACACACCCACACGATACAATTAGAGCCTTTTTACTGTCATCAGCCAGGAAACTCTGCTGGAGTAGAACGGCTGGCCTAATAAGTACAGAGGAGCAAGTCCCCCATGCAGCGTGGGTGGGTGTTTTCTAATCACTCTTCAAGCGGGCGAGGAAGCTGTATAATAAGGATTTTTACTTTTGTTAAGGGCCCATGCTGCATGTCTGTGTGGGGCTCAAACAGCCATCACAGACAAGAAGCCAAAAGGTTATAACATGTACAGTATATGAGCATCGGTTACAACTTTTGCCAAAACCCCCTAGGAAAATATACAAAAGAAGTGGTTACAAAGACAGAAAGGAAGTAACTTAATCACAATTTTAACCACTACTTTCATATCAGATGTTTTCACATCTGATATGCGAAATGAGAAAAATCTCTAATTCTGACTAGCATGATTTAAAAAAGAATGGTTCTGTTTAAGGCATTGTGCAAACAAAAACTGTAGTTTTATTATATTTAAGGTGTTTTTGGTGAGATTCCAAGCGAAGAGAAGACCAATTTGTCGACATCGGTACTGCTTACACAACATGGTGTTTAACTGTTTTATATTTCAATTTTTTTTTTCTTTATGTTTCGTCACGGAGATTATGAAGGAAATATAAAAAAAAACATACTTCATTTCAACGGGACTGTGTGTGCACACCTCACAGGGTCCTGCTGAATGAGATTACAATACAACAAAAGCACCGCATTAAATGAGCTTCCTGCACATATTCACGAAGGGTTTGACTCAGTCATTTTTTTATTTTGTTTTTTTTAAAGTTGCTGTCTGAGGTGAATAGGAGGAACTCAATTGGATCCAAACAGAGAGGCCCCCGATAGGTCAAATGGAAACACGGGCGAATGAAGACACTTGTGTCTGGATGACCGTAACGTCTAAGACCAGTTTGCCAGTTTGAACTGAAAATGGATTTGCTTGCCTCCCTTCTTTTATTCTTAAGAAGCCCAATTCGAGCTGAATCTCAATGTGTTCCAGAAAAATCCCACAGAAGTTGTAGGAAATCAAAACCGTGCCGCTGCCTGAGGGGTTTGTTTACAGAAAAGGGGTCACCACCCCAGTTGCTCCCACCACGCCGCCGCCTGACTGGTGGTGTGTGCGTGCAGACATACAAATGAGACGCCCCCTTTTTCACTCTGGCCAGCCGGCAGCAGGGCCTCGGGTCGAGTCAATGGCTCTGTTGTGTCTGGGCCCCAAAAGAGCACCCCTCAAAAAAGTCTCAAGAACAAATCGTCAGCGATGGAGCCAAAGTGCAGCATCAAACATCAAACGCACAAAGCGGTAGCCATGCATCGGGAGGTTTACACCTGCATTTGTGCAGGCCTGCATGCCCCCCACCCCCCATTGCCCCCCTGTGTGTGGTTAGTCATGTGGCCATGCTAATCTTCAAGAGTGCTGCCTGCTTCTCGACAGGCTCTGACTCAGGCAGCAAATTACCTCACCGCTAAATAGCTGGATTTCTGTTGGGTAATTGGGTTTTATTTCTAGTCTTTTTTTTGTGTGTGTGTGTGTGTGTATGTGTGTGTTTTGGATGTCTTGTGTGTGAATTCTCTGTAACACGAAGCTGTGGCGGGGTGAAAAAAAAGAGGGTTGGGGGGTTTTAATCGTGTTAGGATCGCAGTGCTTTAGGCTCAGATCGCCCCCCAGAATTATTAAACAGATCATTTTGACATCCGTGAAGGTGCTGCTAGCCCCCCCCACCCCCAAACCCCCACCCCCATTCTGCTCTGACTCGAGTTCAAAACAGAAACTTCTGCACAGGCTGGATCTGCTCGTCTCCTCTCCGTTTCTGCTCTTCTCCATCTCCGATCATCCGTCTTTGTGCGGAGAGAGTTGGGTTCGGAAGGTTCCCCCTGCTTATTTCAGCCCGCTTATTTCAGTCGTGCACCGCGCTGAGGGGGGTCCTTGTGTGAGAAAAAAACGGCAGCTGTACGGAGACTGAGAAAGGGTCGGCCAGACAGGGGGCACTTTCAGTGTTTTCATCCACGCGTGAGCGCGCACAAGCCCCCACTGTTGTCTGCTGAAGGAGCCCCAGACACTGGTTTAGAGTCTTTGTGACTCCCTGGGATGTCCCATGTGCCGTTATTATTAACACTTAAGCTGCTGTCATAATAAAAAAAAAGGTTCAGGCTTACTCTACGGAGCTGTTTGGTCATAATCCAAAATATGTGGAAATTGGTGAGGTCGAAAGCCCGATTGATTTTCTGCCTGCGGGGTAATTTCGGCTCAGATTCTTTAGTTGGAAACCTGATAATAAAACAGAGTAGATCAAGAGTAAAAAATGGACATTTGTTAGGTCACAGGCAAAGTATATCAGCGCTGGGCTCTTGCTCAGGGTCTCAGTGGGCCAAGAGCCCCGAAATCTGGGTGTGATGGGCATTATTTTCTTGGCTCCATCCGCCTCTTCAAAGGAGGACCGGACACAACAAAGTCCTATTGGCTAGTTACCTCTCGTCATGAACAGGCCAGGTCCTAATTCATGCAGATAACATTGGAATGTGGTAACAAATGGTGTGTGTTTGTGCTGACCTAAAGGTGTGGAACAAAGAAAGAAAAAGAGAGAAATAGAGATTCTGTGGGCACTGCCAGAGACTTTAACAAAAAGTAAAGTTCTAAAAAGAATAAGATAATCAGTAATTAACATAGATTATGTTATAAATTCGTCATTTTAGCCAAATTCTAACACTTCTTAATTGACTATGGTGGTCAATCTCTGTAAACAGAACAGTCAGAGCTGCAGCAAAGCTGAATGTGCGATGGGGACATTTTTTGATAGACAGGAAACCTTATATAGAGACAGGACCAGAAATACATTTACTGTAGAACAAAAGTGGCCAAATACTTAAATAGTCCCCTTTCCCTTTTTCTGGTTTCTCTCTCAACGCTTTCTTTTAAACGAAGATGTGCATGGTGTGCGCGTGTGAGGATATGATGACCACCTGAGCTGACCTTTGGTCAGATCTCAGGTGGTCTGTTTTCTGTTAAGACACTGATGTAAATAGGAAGTTCCCCCAAATCATATTTTGAAGGGACACGCTCAAACAGAGTCACTGGTAATGTTTGATTCGTTTACTTTCGGCCCCACAACAGCACCGGTATCAGCCCTCTCAGTATTCATAGCCCGAGCCCTTGTGATGATGTTGTCTTTGTCGCCGCAGTTTTCCGACAAGACTCTCTCGCCTCCCCGTCAATCTTTCTTTAAGATCTCCTCCCTCTGTCGTGTCCTCCCTGATTTCATTTCCTCCCCGTCTTTTTCTCTCTCTAAACTCCCCTCCTTCCCTTCCTCTCCTTTCACCTCTGTGTTTTTGCTCTCACCACACCATCCCATTATTCATTCTCCCCCTCTTTTCCCTTCCCTTCCTCCTGCAGAGCCGGATTGGGCGTCGCTAACTTTGGGAGTGTTCGTCTGCCAGGCCTGCTCCCTCCTCCACCGCAGCATCCCTCACATCAGCCGGGTCAAGTCTGTCCAGGACACGTGGGATGGAAGCGAGGTGGAGGTAAGGCGCTAAATGGGGAGTAATCCATCGATTTCCACTCCCGGCATCAGTTTGATGCAGCCTTGGCGTCGCGCCGTCCACCTGTTTCCTATTGGCAAAAATTCAAACATTATCCGACAAGCGAGAACACATCTACGTGCATGTTTATGTGCCTACGCTGCGTTTAATGGCGTGGGGACCGTCTGTCGCTACGAGCTTTACAGTCTGAACGGACACTGAATGTTAGTTCAGCCAGAAAAAAAAATGTCCCCCCAATTATGCCCAAAAGTCAGTCAACCAGAGCAAACCAAGAATTTTTATCCAGTAAAATGAGTGTCTCACACGTTGTTAGTATGATAATTTAGCCATTAAATTCCTCTTTCCGAAGTCTAGACGTGCTGCAGAAATGAGAAATGCATAGTTTTCCTATGTAGGTAAAGGAAATCACGCAAATAATTGGGAGAGACGATACTCAAACTGAGTTGTGGAATAAGCCAAGAGGAGTGGTTGACCGTTCTGTGGTGTAGAAGTGAGAAGTTCCTGTGCTTGTTTCCTGACACTTCAAAGGTTTTGGGTTCCAAGGGCTCCCCTCAAAACAGCAGCTGGTCATTTTCCAGGTTTTTCCATTAGGGGGGTTACGTATCGGCCCATTTTTCTTGGAATGAAGCAGTTGCCGGGCAACCGGCAGAGACTCCAGGAATTCTCTGGTAACCACTTTTCACTTCCAGGCAGGGAAGCCAGTAAGCTTATCTCTCCACAAATCGGTCATGAATCTGTTTGTGCGAGTTTGTAGAGGAAGGCCAGTGTGACTAAATCAGCTGCGTCTACATTCTGTGTTCCTCACCCCAGAGGAAAAAAAAACTGTAACGAAGCAAGCCACCTTGGTTTCCATGGAGATAACCCTGTAGGGGATATTTGCTTAAGGATTTCAATCCATTTCCACTTAACCCAGGTCGAAATGAAGAGGCCAAAGGCTGAGGAGGGTAGCCTATACATCCCTCCCTCCTGCCTCCCATGAGGGATCCCAAGGTGTTCCATGGCCAGAATTTACTGTCCTGTGTTTTTTTTCTTTCTTTGTTTTAAATTTTGAGACCTTTGGAATTTATATTGTAATAACATGGAAAGTAGATGCCATTCCTAACTAACAGACGCTGTTGGATACAAGTGGTTTTCCCTTTTCTAGCCCCAACCACTCATCGGCTAATAATCTACACTAAGGTGAAGGATGTTTTAAGGCATAACAGGGGGTGACATTCAAAATAAGTTTCACCGTGTAGATGACAAGCACTGTATTTTCTCAGATTCATACCAGATTTGAGCAGAGATGTGCGTTCGGGTGGATGCATATGGGAGGAAGGTAATAAAATGTTATGCAAGACCCAACCCAGCTGATAAAAGCAACTAATGCAGGCTCTTTGTCTTTAATATTTAGACCCATGTTCTCATAAAGGTTAGCTCATATTGATAAGCAAATGCCACGCTCCGCAGATGGCTGTGCCTCTCAGCAGAGGCGCTTATCGCGATGTGAATGTTAAACCAAAACGTTACATCGCATTTTTGTCAACTAGCAAGTCGCGGGGGGAGAGTTTTTGCGACTTTTGGTGGAAATGAGTGTCGCGAGTGGATTCCCCGCCGCTTTAACCTTCACAGCAGAATGTCAGCGCGCCGCATCCCTGTTGGAGCCTATCGGGGAATAAGCGGAGACACACTGTAGGACTCATCCTGTTGGATTGGGCTCCGAAATTATGCTCAAATGAAGAACGCCGTGAAAGAATCGGGGCCAGAATGATAGACAGGTGCAAGAACGGGCCTTATTGTCGGGGGAAAATGTTTTTCTGTGCCTCAAACCTGTATGATCTGAACTTATTCTGATGCAGTGATTCAGCGCCATATTGGTATCTGGCTCCAATATTGATTTGTGAATAATGGCTGATGTCACGAATCCATGTTTAGATTCACAAATGGATCCAGACAGGTAAAAATTCACTGTATTAAGGTGTTGGTAAAAATCAGACCCCAGCTCTCAGAATTATATTGAAACAAAAATAATCTCAATAGTCTAAATCTGTCAATATTGATATAGTATATCTCTACAATCAGTATACAGTAAATAGCTGTTTTCAGTAAAATTCATTTTTATGGTAGATCTTCATTGGATGTCCAGATACCAACTGGAGGCCTAATTTCTCATTTCATAAAGTGTTTTATCAGTGGTTGATAATTGGTGAAATGTACTGTTTGAATAAATACCTGCAGGTTTTTATTCATCAAGAAAGTATAACAACCTGGTCAAACCCGGTTAGTATGTGTTTGTCCAATCTGATTCTTGTCTCTTTTTTTTTCAGTTAATGGCAGCTATGGGGAACAGTGCAGCCAAGGCCAAATATGAGCAGAAAGTCCCTGCTTTCTACTACAGACCAACGCACACGGACTGCAAGTAAGCACTCCTCCTTTTAACCATTATTGAATACACAAATACTGATTGTGTCCAGATCATAAAGATAATTTTTAGTTTGGGTATTTCTGCTGCCTTTTGCTGTTCTTTTATGTTCTGTTATCTACAGAGCTGGATAAATCTCTGTTGTTTACCTGCTGTGAATTGGCGGTATGTCTTTAGTGAGAATGGTCTGCAGTCTTGAATACATTTTTGTCATTTATTCTACTTTGAATGTTTCAATTGCACCAATGTTAGTTGAAATACGCAAATTAGGTATTACTTTACCAATACAGCTGTAAGAACCGTAAATATTCACAACCAAACATGCATTTGCTGCGTGCAGTAATATAGGCATTTCTGCAAGATCAATAATACATGCCTTTTATATACTGTGAGATTAGCAATGAAAATTTAAAGATACTAAGCAAACATTGCACTTTATCTACAGTATTCAATTAGCGGTAGCTTTTTCTGATATATTTCCAGGACAAACTTGAATGGTGTTGGAAAAGCAATTGGCAAAATTCTTTAATTCACATTTTATCAATTACAGATCCCTGTAGGTTTACATAGTAGTTGGCCCAGAACTAGCAAGATTTTTATGTGAAATTTGCTAAAAAGTGACCAAACATTCTTGATCTAAGAGTGTGAAACAAAAACTAACCGATAGCATTTGTGGACCAGTGATAAAAAGGTTACAACCTTTCTGTCAACCGCAATGTTAAGTGCACAGGTGGATCTTTTCATGATTACAAAAATGGGTGTAGATGATTATTCAATTGCTCCAATCAGTCTGCTATTGAGTGGAATTCAGACTCAAACAGGTGTAGACGAATTTGACAAATTACTCGTAATTACTCGTAAGCAGTGGGGACGGTATGAATTGATGTGCAGGAGTCCACCAAAGTCTCCATAAAAAAAGTTTGTTAATAGCTATTTTATGTTTGTTGTCTGCAGGAATATACATGCAGTGTGCAAAAAAAGAAACCTGACAAGTAAAACCTATTTTTTATGCCCTCTTTAATTTTTTTAGGCAGATAAACCTAAGAGCTGTGACTCCAAAATCTTTAGTGCAGGTCTCCAAACGTCAAATGGCTCCTATGCATGTGTAAAATAATCTTATTAATTTATGCACACAAAGTATGTACTGAAAAATTGTTTTGTGAAGCATTTGGTCATGAATAGGCCATCTGAAATAGGCCATCTTTCCTATTAGTAAGCAACTTCCTTAATGCAGCACTTGCAACTGGTTTTCATTCACACTGCGTGTTGAAGCTGCTAAAGTAAGAACACAAAAAGTCAAAGTTGATGATGGAAACTGATATCTCGTGCTGATGTGTGCCTTTTCACACCTCGGTTCATGCATTACGCTTCATCTTTTTTTCTTACAATCGCAGATAAAAAAGCCACGCTCGCACCCGTCTCAGAGTTTCCTGTTCATGTGTTGCAAAGCTACAAATCACTGGACATTAATTCGGCTTAGAGTATTCTAAAAACCAACGTGTGGCACATTTGAAGGCTGCTATGGACCAAACTGTGTTAACGTAAGCTTAGGAGGTCGCAGGTGGGCGTCTGAGACTCTCTGTGAATGGTGCTCAGTGGGTCGGTGTAAAATAGACAAAGCCTGGCCAGAAAGACTGCCAGACCTCTGACAGACTGAGTGAGACGTCTTTCACACTTCAGACTGTGTCAGTTCTGGTACAGAAATGCCTGCCTCAGTGTCAGGACAGTTGTGTTCACACATTCCTAAACCCCCCCCTCCAAGGATTTCAGTGTCAAAGACGCGTTGTTGCCAGGGGATTTCTTTTAGTTTCAAGTTTTTTTCCTAAGGTTAAGACGTTTTGGGCTCCTTGATGCCCAGAATATAGCTGACTGGTGTTCTTTTGACAAAGAGGGAAAGGAAACAAATGCAGCAAAGTGTTTGGGAAGAAAAGAACAAAAAAGCCGGATGGTTCTGAAAACAGAGGGGGAAACTGAACCAATCAGAGGGGGAGAAAAGAAAGGAGAACATGAGCATGTTGGCATGGTGATGAAGTAACGTGTGTGTGCGCGTGTGTGTGTGTATGTTTGTTCTACTGAAGAGGAAGAAAATCTAAAATATGACTGCTGCCTTTTCCTCCAGCTTCAGTAAACACATTTCAATCATTTAGCTGTCATATTGATGCCGTACATATCCATTCAGTGTAAAAAACGAGTAAAACATTTAGCCGAATTAGTTCGGGGCCAAACATGGAAGAATTAAAAAGTTGCTTTAATCTTCCAACATTCACTGTTACCCCTCTCCGTTCTCTGTTCTGCTTGGATCTCCTACCTTACCATGAGAATGAGTGTTGTAGAATCTTTAAATACTTTTTCCACCCCTAAGATAAGCACAAAAGATTTTGATGCCTTCACTTCACTGCGATAATCATCAACTAGCCTTTTAGAGACAATTATCAATAACGAATGCAAGAAATGAGGGGATTCACACTTAAACTGTAGTTTGCAGCATCCTGATTGGTCCCTCTGGACAGCGAGCCGGTGAATAAAATCGTACAGTCAGACGCACATGGTAAGTTACTGCCAATGGTCGACCGGGCTCAGCCTTGGAGACAGGAGAGGAAAGCTAGTCAAAATTAGATGCTCAAACCAACTTAGCTGGCTCCCTGTAGAGTAAAAGGGGCTGCGGCTGTGTCTGTTTCCTGGATGGCTTGTCAAACTGAATTCCCCGGGGGGGGGTTCCCTTGTGGCTCAACCCTCAGATAAATAGAAGACAATGGACGAACCGTTTCCTTCGCCTTTCTTCAACAAAGGCTGACACCAAATGAAAAAAAAAAAGTCCTATTTATCATCCTTTGTCACTGGCTAAGAACTCGAAGAATTAAATTTCCATTGTAAAAAAGAATGATGCTTTCGTTCCCGTGGAGCAAAAAGCCATCAATCCGCGCAGAAGAAATGGCTTTCATGTGTTTGTGGATCTCATTTGATGAGTGAGCAGCTCGCATTAAAGCTAACAGTGCTTTTTCATCGTGTCTCCAGGCTGCTGAGGGAGCAATGGATCAGAGCCAAGTACGAACGAAATGAGTTTGAGTTCATCGAGAAGCAGGAGCCTTACTCTGCAGGTAGGTGCAGCAGGAAAGCATTGTGTCACGGTTACACATGAGAACCTTCAGATTATACGTTTCTCCACTCAACTCTGACACTATCTAAACTGAGTGGTCGATCTCGGCCTATTCACTGATCGATTAAAGCTTTAAAAAGTGCTGATTTGGTTCCAATACTCAAGTTCTGTAAAGCTGTTGTGATACTTCACGCTCAGTTGTGTTAAGAATTTATTTGGCTGCAGAAAGCGGCTCCCGAAAGTAAAATCAAGCGACCTCAAGTACTCGCAAAGTACTTGAGGTCTCGGATCTCTCCATTATTAAAAGGGAGCATTCTCTGGTCATGCGTTCAGATTCACAGTTTTTGTCCTGCTTCACTGTTTGACCGATTATTCTGGAAGACATGCAAGTAAACTCAGTAAACGCAGCAGGTTTCACGTTTAACATCGTTCCTCATGCTGTTCATTTGTGTCTACACCAAGCGGAAATGTAACACTGGAGTTTGAGAATGAATGCAGTTATCACGTCAACGACGCTGCTTCTTATTTTTCATGGCTCATGAATTTGGATTCAGTTATTTACTTGTAAGTACAGATGTGTGTTGAAAGATGATTTTCAGCCAAAGAACAACTCACTTTTCACAAAAAAAAGCCTTTCGCATAGTTTGCAAATGAAAAACAAAGTGACATTTACATTTGTAACAAACGAAAACGTTTATACACAGATCTGGCTGACTATTTTCTTTTTCTTTTTTTGAGTGTCCTGATTTCTGTCATGTCGGACCCACTCTGTTTACCCTCCAGCGAGCAGAACCTTGAAAACTTCTCGAAAAAAAAAACATCTCCCAGTGGGTGCCGGGCGGCGGAAATTCAATTACCCCCGAAACCACCGTGGGCATCTTTCAAAAGCTCGTTTTCATCCTTCTTCTTAGCGACTGTGTCTATGTCTGCTGTTAAAAGCATGTCCAAGCGGTGACATTGTAATTGTCGCAGCTGGAGAGTGGAACCGCCGTTAAAAAACTGCGAGTGCATTTGGGCGTGGGCTGGGAAGCCAAAAGTGCTTTTACTTATGTGGGTCCATGCTTGAGATGTGCCTCCAAGTATTCATTTCACATCCAGGAGAAGATGGTCCTCTCCGATTGGTTTTCAGTGACCTCATCCTTTTTATTGATACTGTGAACAATACACAGACACGCGCACATACACACCAGGCGCATCTGCACGAGTCACTTTGTCTTTATTCGGGCATTTCCGCGCACCTCGTTAGTCATTTTAATGAACGTGGGCATGAGAACAATGTGCGCTATTTGCGGGGGGGGGCTGAGATCAGCTATAGGCAGGAACCCGGCCCCCACTGGAGCCGCCATTGATCGGGTATGCAAAGGACAGGAGAAGAAAGAGTTTAGTGGAAAGGAGGTGAGGGTGGGGACAAGAAGGGCTATTGATCCATGAGGTAATGCCTGTGTAGGTGAATATTTCAAGTCAGGACATCAGACACAGAAGTGCAGATGGCACGGTGTGAGTGGGAGGATTAAATGATAGAAGAGAGCAAATCAATGATGTATAGTAGAGAGCAGCGGAGTAAATAAAAAGAACGAGCATGAAAACGCCTCAAGAGGTATCCTATTAGGTTTTACAGTTTGTTTGAGAGTCGTTGTTTGTTTTGTTTGTTGTTTTCCTTTCTATGATCTGCAACCGTCAGTCTTTCACGCAGAAAAGTGAATAGTTCCGGATTCATTTATATTACTGACACGTCAACAATTTCAAGTTAAAGCTCAGTTAGCTGCTATGGCAGGATAACAACTTCCTGTTGCCACGGTCATCCATCATCCCGGATGGGAGATATTGTCTGGCAACAGCAGTCCCTTCCAGCATTCAAAGCAGCACATGAACATGTTTCAGAAATCTGTGCCTTTCCAAAAAAAGGACAGCAGGAAGACCCAGCACATCCACAATTATTGCAGTAGTCTACCTATCTCTTGGGCAGCGACATTCAGAACGATACTGGTGTGTTCCAGATTTTTGGTTTCACTCATTTTACTGAAATGGATGAATGATTAAATGCCCCTGATATATACATTTAAATTCCTGAAAACATCTTTCGGCACTCTTCCGTGTAGACAATAATGGCCCAGACCCATTTATCGCCTTTTTTTTATTTCTCTTTTCAGTGTAGTAATTGGCATTTATGATCAAATGTTTTTATTTAGATCAGTCACTTCCTTGAGTTAAAGCTACAGAAATAGATGCAGATTAAATCATGATCATCGTGAAGATTTCAGAGGGAAAAGAGGGCAGTGCAGGCAGAGTGATATCCTGAAATAGACTGAAGAAGAAGACTTAACAGGCTAAAATTAGAACAGCTTGTCATGATAGAATACTCTGAAAAAGGGATGTTTGATGAACACAAACATGTGCTGACTCATTCTACAATTCTTTCTAAATCCCCCCCCCCGCCTTTGTTTGTTTCTTCTCGGTCTGTTGTGCGCTTTCACGTCCTCTTTGGGTTCTAATCTTCGCAGGGATCGAGTTGGGCCGGAATCAGTTACAGTATCTCCCCATTCTTAAGTCCGGAGTGTTTGGTATCAGCCTCCCCACCACACATTGATTTCTTTCTTTCTTCTTCTTTTTTTCTTTGCATTCAGGGTACCGCGAGGGGTTTCTATGGAAACGGGGGAGAGACAACGGTCAGTTCCTGAGTAGAAAGTTTGTCCTATCGGAGAGAGAGGGAGCCCTCAAATACTTCAACAAGCAGGATGTAAGCCGAGCGATAGAGCTGATTTCAGCAAATGTGAAGGGATTTCACTCACGCTTCCGTGCTGTCCTGTGCTCTGTTGTGCTTCCATTAAGGCCAGGGATCCCAAGGCAATCATGAAAATTGAAACCCTTAATGCCACCTTTCAACCGGCCAAGATCGGCAACCCCTGCGGCCTGCAGATCACCTACCTGAAAGACAACAGCACAAGGAACATCTTTGTCTACCACAGCGACGCCAAGGTGCTCCGCCACGCCCACCCGTGCCCTGTGTGTGTGTGTTGTGTGTGTCGATGTCCGCGCAACAATTCATACTTAAATGCTCCATGTCAGACCAAACGACAGCAGAGCATCGTTGGAATGTTTGTGGTGATTTTTCATATCAGCAGAGGTTATGAGGTTTCAGATTAATAGTTTCCCCACACTTTTGTGTGCGCGTCGGTGTGTATGTGTGTGTGTGTGTGTGTCTGTGCATGTGCTGTGTGTGTGTCAATGAGAAATGTAATTGAGATGTTTGACATATCCCAAGATGGATGGATGGATGGATGGATGGATGGATGGATGGATGGATGTATGTATGTATGTATGTATGTATGTATGTATGTATGTATGTATGTATGAATGTATGTATGTATGTATGTATGTATGTATGTATGCATTATTCTATAATTGCTTTTCCAGTGTATATGTACCTGTAATTACCATGGTAACTCTAGCTCCCCAGAGCTCTGAATTGGATTAAGCACTTTTAGATAATGATCATATTGGTGAACAGAACATAGCACTCCATGTTCTTAATTTTCATCTTCTTTTGTTTTGGAAAGGACAACAGACAGTATATCTGTGTGTAAACTTTGTCTCAGTGAGATTTTTAGGTTCAACCTTGATTTAAAGTAAATGGATAGAAAAAAATATTTTGAACTGAGTATGATAAAAAAGAAAATATAGACATTTGAGGATGGCTAGTCACTGAGGGGATTCAAAGCAAGAGGCAGGCCTGAGGTAGCACAGCCCCCTCTGCTGGCCAAAAACTGCTACTGACAGCCGTGATGGGGAGGTTCACTGGGTTCAGTTGCTCTCTCATCGACAGCATCCACAAAGCAAAGATGCTGCTTACTGCAGCCTACCACGAGTGAAGGGTCGCAAAACTCCGCTTCGGAGCTACAAATTCAAGTTGCAATTGATATTGTGCAGCCACAACTGAGAGAGTTTGTTTTCCCACAGGAGATGGTCGACTGGTTCAACTCCATCCGAGCAGCCAGGTTCCACTACCTGCAGGTGGCCTTCCCCGGAGCAGGTGATGAGGAGGTAAAGCCCACTTATCAAGCCTGTACTTTAAGAAAGAAACTCTACAAACAAGTCAGTATTGAAGTCACTTCTAAGTCTCTGTGAAGTGGAACGGCTGCATGTTGTTCCTTTATCCTGTGAATCCACACCAACTCTCCACAATGGAAGAAATTGACATTGTGTTATATTTAATGCATACTTATTACTAAATGTATCTTTTTTTGTTTGTTGGTTAGTTTTTGTCTTTTTTTTTTCTTTCAGTTGGTGCCAAAACTGACACGAAACTTTATGAAGGAGGGCTTCATGGAGAAAACTGGCCCAAAGGTCGGTGTTGTTCTTTCCGGATCCCGACACCTGTCTGAAGTGAAAGAAGCTTTGATTGATCGATAATCAATACGCTCCCGTTTGAATGTCATACCATCCTAGACATGACCGGACTGTCAAAGATTATCCTCATTGGAAAGGAAGAACACAGAAAGCCCAAAGTTGATGACACTGAGTTGTTGGAGCTGCTGTTAGTTTATTTGGGTTCTTCTACAAGACTGATTGATGCTTCTTGGTGTTTTCCAGTTTATCTTAAGTCAAAATTCAACCCACCTCCGAAGCTTGGAAATGTCTTTTGTTAAGAACTTAAGCAAATCAAATGGTGTTGAATGTTGGAACAATTTCTAAATGTGAAACTAAACTGGCCTTGCGTTCTTTAAACTTATTCTAAAACTTAAGCTTTTCATAAAATCCGCAGAGTTCTCCAGACATCAGATTTCTCCTGATTTCTCTTGATCGTTTTATGTTTCTTTCCGCCCCTCCGCAGCACACAGAGGGCTTCAAGAAGAGGTGGTTCACTATGGACGACAGGCGGCTCATGTATTTCAAAGACCCCCTGGTAAGCCCAGACCTGGTCCCTTCTCACCCACTTTTTGATGCGACAGACTAAAAGTCAGTTTTGCATGATATTGGTGTCTTTATCTCAGGACGCCTATGCCCGAGGGGAGGTGTTCATCGGCAGCAAAGAGAACAGCTACACCGTCCTGTCCGGGCTGCCCCCGTCCACGCAGGGCTACCACTGGAACCACGGCATCACCATCATCACGCCGGACAGGAAGTTCCTCTTTGCCTGCGAGACCGAGGCCGAGCAGCGGGATTGGATAGCCGCTTTCCAGAGAGTCATCAACAGACCAATGAGGCCGCAGGAATACGCAGGTCATTTATGATGCAGTCGTGGGGAATCTTGTGAATTCTATTGTAACATCAAACTCTCAATGCCTTTATAGACACAGGGCTGTTTTCTCATTTTCAGTGCTTAATGCGAGCTAAAATTCAGTAATGGGCATGTCTTTATAGCAAAACTTTTCCTCACAAAATGAATTCAAGGACCTCTAATCTTTTAGAACTCGATTAAAAAACAGTTAAAAATAAAATAAACATTAAATTACAAAGAAAATCAAGTGACTATTCTAATAATAATAATCTAATAATACATTTAAAACTCCAACGTCATGTTCAAAATAAAAAGAGTCCTGTAATAGATATAACAACAAGATAAGACGGATGGCATTGCAAGCACATTACAGCCAAAAAATGTCGTGTTTACATCAAACAAATATTATTCTCTAAGATTCATCCAAAGACGCCCTCCGTAAAAGTCTGATTCTGATGTGAACATGTTTTTAGGATGGGTCGGATGAAATGGAAATGCATTTCCTGTGACTGCAGCTCATTTTGCTTGTTTGTTTCTACAGTGGAGGCCCATTTCAAGCATAAGCCTTGAAGCCCGCAGGAAATCGCAGCTCAACTGTGCCGGCCCAGTCCCATCGGGATCAGAAACGGTCACTGCAGAGTGTGAGAGGTGGACATAGTAGGTGCTGATGGGCTTGGGGTCAGAGGTTGTTTTTTTTGTGCAAGAAGAAGAAGAAAAAGAAGAAGAAGAGTCTAAAAAAACAGAGGGACTTGAGTCTATGTGAAGACAGCTGCGAGGACCCTCGTGGTGGGACTAGGACTAGGTAGATGATGTCATCCCTATTGCGCCTACCAAACCTGTACTGTACAGTATCATACCAGATCCCCTCTTTTTCCTCAGCCCTGTGGACCCCTCCCTTGCAACAAGCTCCCCTCTCCCCTTGAATTTTGTCTCGTGAATGGTTTATTCTGCCTGTAATCTACTGTAATTATGTAATCTAGAGTCATTTCACTGGTTGCTTAACAAAGACAATGCATTGTTAATTTATTGAATGTACAGTTTTGATGGCAGTGGCTTACATGGCGTGTGGAATTGTGACGTTTTCATCGAGGACGCTCAAGAGGTCGGACCTCCGGACCACTGAGACCCTGCTAAACCTGAAATCTACAAAGTGCTGTTAACGACAAATATGCATACAGAACTCACACACAAACTCAGTGAACACCGGCGCTGTTAACTTAGCTGGGGGCAGGCTGATCTGCATCCAGGCAGGGTTCTTTTAAAAAAAACATCGGTCTTAAAGCTGTTCTCTTATTTATTTGTACTTTTGAACTAGTACTAAATCATCGTAGACGTAATTATCGCTGCTTTCATGGATTGTAATGTGACAGGATTGTAATTTATACATTTCAACCGTTGGCTTTACTTTTTACACCTTGTTTCGGACACATTTTGTTCTAACTCCTTGCATCACAGTGAGAGTTGTTTCATTATAAAGATCGTGTCATTAATACAGATGAGGCTGAAATCCCTTCATGGTTTTTGGATTATTCTTAGTCTACACTTTGGAACGAAATGCTTTTTTTTTGTTAATCTCAGCATCCACACTCTGATTCCAGTGATCCTGAGTTCTTACAGTTTAAAACTAAAATTAGCTGGTCAAGCATGATTTTATTAACAGACTTTTAGGGGCTTTTAAGACAATGTCAGCATGATCCTATCAACAGAGCCATTAGCGGTTGATAGGATGTGTGTGTTTTCCAAAAGGCGCAGAAACCATTAAGAAAGGCATTTGAAAGTTAACTTATGTCCAGCAGGTGGAGCACTTTCATCAAGCTTGGTCATTTTGTGTTTTGAACCCTTCATGAGGAAAGTTAAGAATCAAACAGGGATAGAAGGAATTATCCTTTAACTAGAAAGAAAAAGCTGAATCCAGCTGAAAGATAATTCTTACAGACTGTGGAAAATAAGGACCGGTGGATGTTTGAGGGGGGAAGAGAAGAAGAATCAAAGTATTTGCACAGTAACCATTCAATGCATTGGTCTCATCTGTAGTTGCTTCACCTGCACCAGCTATGTTGAATGAGGGAAAATGGAGTACCATTCACAGGCCCTACACTTTCCATTTATGCTGATGCACCTCAACCTGTTTAAGCTCAGCAGTTATCCAAACACACACAGAGAAACTCCCTGCACTGAGGAAAGAAAGGTTCCAGCCTAGGTTCAAACCATAAAACATATTTCTGTCTGGCAACAAAGACCCTCTCCCCTTTGTTAATTCGATTCTGGAGTTAGTAACCCAGCAATGCAACTTATCTGACGTATCTACATTTGAACTTCAGCGCATCTAAGCCTCATAATTAAGAGGCCGGCTCTACACTTTTCATCTGAGGATTCTCCACACATTCAGGGAAAGACCACAGGCTGATCCCATCCTTTCGTATTAAGAAATGTCTGGACGTACCTGAGAAAAGTGTCATCTTGAAGGAAGAGAATGTCACATGAATAATTGCAAAAGAGCTTTTATGAAGTCCTCAATCCAACCCCAATACTTTTTTTTTCTGTGTTTCTCCCATTGCCATTTGGGCCTGTAAAAGGAGCTGGGACGTGTTGATCCACACATTCATAAGTGTGTGTGTGTGTGTGGGGGGGGGGGGGGGGGGGGGGATTGTTTGACTGCCTTTGTAGCTGTCACCTGATGATCCAGCCACTCCCGGCACAAAACGTCCACACGCCCTCCAGAGTTACGGACGCGTGGTTAAAATCAATGTTTCTCCTGTCTGGCTTGCCTTGTTGTCATTGGCAACTGGGTTGTCATGGAAAACTGCTCAGACAGAGGGCCACTGAACGGCGGCCGCCAGGTTGGACCCACACAGGAAGTGTTTAAAACGGGTGGGACTCTGGCACAGCGGTCACAGTGTGAGTTCGGGCGATAATATTATAGCCACTGGAACATCGAGCATATCTATTAATGGTGAAGCTGCAGCTATACCACTCGATAGTTTTGCTTGGGTGTAACCCTGACTTGGGATAATAGCTGCTGAGTGCTTTCATGGTGCATTAGACAATCCAGACGGCCTTGTTTTTATTCAGGTAATGTAAAAAAAAGGCTAAGGTTTCACCCTCTGTTGTTGGTTTATGAAAATAATTTCTTGTGGTGCCTCTGGAAAAACTGGGCCCCAGCTGTCCCATCCATGGAAGCGCTGCTACCGTTGGACCAGAAAGCCGGAGTTTAAACTGTATCATTAGATAATCACAGGAAACGCAGCAGGAGTAGCAGCTGGACTGGAACAACCCGGAACAAAAAGCAGTGAGTGGCAGTGACCGCGGTCCAAAACTCACTGCAAAAAAGCTCAGCATGACAAATCCAATCTTTTTTTTCTTATGTAATGTTACATTTCTGGTGAGCAGCCTTGCGTTTAACCTCCAGGGGAGCCAAACCCTGAACATCTGTATGGTGTTGCATCACGATTCAAGGCCGTGACATCAGCGAACATGTTGAGGTTTAGGTGGTTTTAGCATAAGTTTTTAAAGTACACAGTGATGGGCTTGTGAAGGTTCCACAACAGCTGACGTTTGACACCAGTCAGTGGTGAATTGACCCTCTTTCCAAAAACAGAATAGCAAAAAATTCATTCCCAACTGAATTTTGTTTTTTTTTGTCAATGGTTGGGTATTTAAAAAAGGCACCTTGAGGAGGCAGAGTCTCTTAGAGGAAAAGCTGGACAGTTTCAGCAATTTGCCAAACATTGTATCAACAAAATGCTGAGCAATTCCATAAAAAGTATCCTCACCTAAAATTGTGAAAACACTGGATGTTCCATTATCAACAATGCGTAACATTTTCCAAGGAACATAGTTTCCATCCAGATGTTGGAAGGATAATGTTTCTCACTTAAAAAAAATAAAAATCTTTTTTTATATTCTAATCTGCAATAAGAAATTCAAAATGGCATTTAAACTGACTTTATTCTTGTTCTATTGACATTATGCACAACATCTAAACATTTGTGGGGATTGAATTTAATTGAATTGAAGTTTTATGTATTTTTATGCACCAGCAGGTTAAGATGACAACAACAAAGAAGGACTCCAACTAAAGTTACAGTTACCTCCTCCAGCCTCAAACCTCTCATATACGTGAATGATAAACTAAACCAAAAGTAGCTCCGGAACCAGTTACAGTGAAATGCACTCTGCAAGAACACAGTGGTCTATAAGCAAGCGTGACAAGGAAAATGTCTTATTTACAGTGAAGGGGCCTTTTAAAGATGCACTGATCTTTGCTGCTACAATGAATAAAGAAATGCACAATCTTTTGTTCTGAAGTAAAAAAGTAGAAAAAAAAACTCTTATGGAAACCAGACCCACATAATCAAAATAATGTAATACCTTCATTGTGAATCAAAACACATGAACATTAGGAAACTATTTCACTTAGCCAGTTTTTTTTTTTTTGTGTGGAAAATGTCCCATAAAACCTCAAACTCCTTTTTCTTAAATAGGTGCTACATTCGTTTCTAAATTTCCCTGGTGGGAAATTTGGAACATTTGGAAACATTTAATTGGTCTGAAATGTCATCCTGCTCGTGCTTTAACAAAAAAAACAAAAAAAAAGCTTCAACATCAAAACAAGAAAAGGGAATCCTCGATAATAAAAAAGGAAATGTGGCGATATGTGGACACTAAACAGGAGTTATGGCAAAAAACTTGCATCGTGCAGTCCTGCTTCCAAGGCCACGCATTCGGTCCCTTTCAAGGCCTGGTGAGCGTAGTGTAGATAGGCTGGTCCCAGCCAGTGGGAGGACTGTGTGAAGGTGGCACCAAGGCCAGGCTGTTGATAAGTGGCGCGGCGGTAGGCCTGCCGGAGGAGTGAAAGTACGGGTATTGATACAGGCCGGCGGGATAGCTGGAAAAGGCGCTGTAAAAGCTGGAGCTCTGAAGGTCAGCATAGTCTGATTGATTGGTGGGAGACGATGAGGAGGAGGAGGAGGAGGAGGGGCGGGGGCCTGAGCCCAGGGAAGTGTACTGGGGCTGGTGTGAGGAGGGAGGGGGGGAGGAGGAGGAGGAGGAGGAGGAGGGCGGGGAGGCGCCGCGGCGACCGGGGCTCATCTGCTCCGTCTTAATCTGAAGTCTGTGACTCCCATCCCGGGCCTCGTGACTGAAAGGGGAGGTTGTTTTCGCGCCTTCCGCCGGGGTCGGGGGAGCGTCTCCGTGGCCGCTCGGGGGAGGGAGGTACTGGTCCAGCTCGTGGACGTCGAAGCCGTCCATGTTGCCGATGACGTCGGTGCTGAGCTCTGAGATGTCCACGTTGCTGAAGTCGATGTTCTGACGGCCGTCCACACGCTGGGGGCCCTCGTGCTTGCTCCCCATGTGCAGATCAAATTTTGGAGTAGTAGGGGGTGTCGGGGGACCATGAGGGTGACCTGGAAGTCAGAATCAAGATTAAGTAGCCGTTCACACAGGAGCATTTAATATTTCAGCTATAGAAAAGGCGCTAATGACTAGTGAAATGTATTTCCGTAAACCTGGTCTGTCGGGGTGGTAGTGGTGGTGCGCCTCCCCTGTGTCATGCAGATTGGCAACGCCAGGTTCCGTCTTGCAAAAGCCCTGCTGCTGGACCAGCCTGGGTCTGCACTCCCCGTGGCCCGGCTTGGCACTCTTGCGTCTCCGAGGCTGGTACTTGTAGTCCGGATAGTCTCTCTTGTGCTGCAGCCTCAGCCGCTCGGCCTCCTCCACGAAGGGACGCCGCTCTGTTTCGGAGAGAAGCCTACATACATACATACATTCAAATACATGTTTGCAATTTTAACCACTTGACTGTGACATTTCTGGACAGCATTTTTTTTACTAATGTCAAAGTGTGATTTAGCCAAATTGCAAAGAATGCCTGACCAACATCCACAGTGCTTTAATGAATCTCTGAATTTTCTGAAGAGAAAAGTGTCTCAGATTGTATGTGGTTCTTTGCACTCAGCCACAGATCCATCAGGCGCTGTGAACACAGATTGCTTCATCACCATCAGACCCATAAAACACTCACCCAGCGCCAGGCGTGAGCCAATGCCTGACCGGAATCTCCAAGCTGGCCTTCACCAAACCCAAATGTGTCTGTTTGTAAAGTAATGGCTAGGGAGAAGTATTTCTGCTGCGTGCTGCAGTCCTGTCTGAAGCGCTTCTGTGTGGAGTTTGGATCTTCTCGTCCGGCCTGTTTGGGTTCTCTCCAACTTGCACAGTAAATAAATGTTTGCTTATGTGGTGACTCTAAATTTCCCCGAGCAGTGATTTTTAATGGCATGTTTAGTTAGTCTATAGAGCTACTCCTATAATGGAAACATATACTTGTAGACTGATCATTTAGACTTCTGCTGCTTTTGGTTTTCTGATCATTTTGTTTTAAGGAAATTTCGTAACATCAACTGCTTTTATATTATTGTGAAACTAATGTGTATTTACTGGTGTTGGGTTCAATTCAGCTGGCCAGGAGCAGCTCTCTCTGGGCTCTACTCACCGCCACAGTTTGCCCAGCGTCTTGCTGAGCTCAGCATTGTGCAGATGAGGGTACTGGTCCGCCAGCTTCTTTCGCGCCGCCTGAGCCCAGACCATGAAGGCGTTCATGGGGCGTTTCACGTGCGGTTTCCCCTTGGGTCCTCGTTCTCCCTGACTCGGCACGGGCAACAGGGACCAGTCGTAGCCTTTCAGCACCTGTGACACCGCGTCACGGATGCAGGCGGGGAAACGCTGGTCTTCTGGATAGCTCTCCGGCTTGCGCGTAATTCCCTGCGCATCCCCAGCTGGAGAGCTGGGACTCTCCGAGTCCGAACCGTGCAGGGGATCACTATCATCCGGGCTGCACTGGTGATCGCATAATGGTTTATTCTCCCCGGTCATGTTCGGTGATGGAGTCTAGAGAGTTTCCAAAGTTCCAGAGGAGCCCTCTGCACAAACGCGCACGGCTCTGGTCGTATTACCAACTAGACAAGTGAAGTAGCCTATTACTTGTGCTGATGACTTCTTGGTCTGAGCTTGCCATTCCCTTTCACATCATCCTCCACAGCCTGACAAAATCTCTTCAACACTTCAAGTCTTATTCGGGCGTGATTCTCTCCACCCCTCGTGTCCTACTGGCTTTTGCAAAGTTTGGGTTCCTCCTAGTTTCACTAAACGAAGCAGGGGGAGGCCAAAAGTCAGTCCAAGTTAATAGACTGGGAGACGGAAAGTAATTTGTAGTGCAGTGCAAACTGTTTCGTAAGCACATCATTATTATTTTATCCAAATGGTCATTACTGAACATGGAAATTATTCAAAAACAGTATGACTACGTTTGTATCTATATATAACATCAAACATAGAAGTTTGAATTGAAGTAGGCCTATACAGGTTTATTGAATTCCAACGAGGCTGTAAATAATAATTTGGATGGAGCATCCTCATTTTAACACAGCCTGAGCCCTCTTAGACTCGCACTTCCCATTTTCTTTAGGCATAGTTATTCAGGCTTATTTAAGAAGACACAAGATCCGTTTCCCCTGATTTTCAGTCCACTGTCATTTGCCAGACCTCAGCTATGTATCAATAAAATAATAATGAAAAAAAAAAATATATATATATATATATGTGTGTGTGTGTGTGTGTGTGTGTGTGTGTGTATGTATGTAATATAAAAAGTTCTAATGAAAAGTTTTAATGTCAACATATTATTGTTATCATTAATATTATTAGAATTCCACTTCCGTGTTTGTTTTGTCACGTGACCTTCCGTTCTAAACATGGCGGCCAACGGCGCTGCTTCGGAGAGCTCTGTGAGGAAAAGGCGTGTGGACAGTAGAAAGACAGAGGCAGACTCTGGTCCCAGCGGTTCGGAAAATGGAGCCAACACCAGCAGAGACTCCGGGAAAGAAAAGGAGCTCCTGTCCTTGGAGCCTGGGACCTTTTGGCTCACTCGCATCGTGCTGCTGCGTTCCGTAGCCTTTATTTACCGTGAGTCTGTTAACCTTCATGCGAAGGAAACTCCAGTCTTTTTGCCTCGCAAAGTTTCTCTGAACGGCTTTCTTTGAAAAAAAAAGTTAACTTTTCAGCTGTATAACTTCCTTAAAGTGTCGCAGATAGTACAGAAGCGTGAAACTTCGCCATAATCTGATGCCAGGGTAACTTTCCCATCATGTTTACGGTGAACACAAAGCAGTGATGCATCAGCAATTAAATGTTTACAAGTGTAGTTCCTCATAAAAAAGGGGATTATTATTCTCTTTAAAACTGTGCTATTAATATTGCTTATTAATTGGTAAAAGGTGTCTTGAACTCTCCTGCCTGATGCTGAGTATTCAGGGGGAGAGAGTTATCCCTCTTAGACCTGTTCAAGCAGCCAGTGGATCATGCTTGTCTCTTCCTTCTTCTCTCCCTTCTCTTTCCCCTCTTGTGTCCTCTTTTTTTTGTCTAGTTGTGGCCTTCAGCGTTGCTTACAACCAGAACAAGCAACTGATCGGGGAGAACGGCCTCATGCCCAGCAAGGACTACCTGAACAGTGTGAAGCGCTATGTGGGAGGAAAGATTGGAATGGCCTCCTTGGCGTACACTCCCTCCGTCCTCTGGTTCTTGGACTGGAACCACATGGATGCCAACCTGGACGGCATCGCCCTGGTGGGGCTGCTGTTGTCCGGCTTTGTCCTGATCACTGGGATGGCCAACATGGTGATCATGGTCACGCTGTGGGTGCTTTACCACTCCCTGGTCAGTGTTGGACAGCTGTGGTAAGCAATGGGTAGAAATTAGTTTTATTTAATTAGATTTTTTGGCTCTGATTTGTTTTGTAGATGTCTCTATAGTTTTTCATTCCTATTGTGTTTTAGCTTTGGGTTTGTGTAAAAAAAAAAAAAAAACGCCAATAAAACCTAAGCCTCAAAAAAAGAAACTGGAAAACACCCTATGGTTAGACTTAAACATTTATTTGTATTGTCTTAAAAAGTGCTGTGCTTTTGATAGTAAATTTCTTCATTAACGTACATTCTGAACATTATTGGATTTTCTCCAATAGATGTCACAAACTGCTACATTTTCCGATAGCTTTTTGGCCATGTAAAGTCTAGAAAAAAAAAGGTCACATTAAGTTATTTGATCACGTTAAATAAATCTGCCGAAATTTTAATTTTTCATATCCTCTCTGTTTTCTTTGCCTCTTTCTAGGTACTCCTTTGGTAAGTTGACTTGATACCAATGCAACCAGGACCTCCTTCTTTCTCCTCCTCCAATGGCACATATGGATTAGAGGGATGTGACACAGCTATTGAGTCATCGTGGATATTCGTACATTCTTCAAGGATTAAATTAAACTAACCATTGATGTCCTACAGTAAAAACCAAGCCAAGTCTGAAAGATACACAAAACAATTTTCTCCTCCTTTTTCATAAAATTAATACAACAGAAGATTAGCAGTTATATTTAGTTTGACGAAAGGTTACCAAGGCGTTCTGCCAAAACATGATGCGCCTCTTCAGCATCGTGAGGAAAGTGACGATAACTGAACTGATTTTCTGAAATGCCTAAAGACAGTCATTTTTCAATTTAATGGCCGTCATTCGTTCATATCTGATTGAATGTTTATACCCAAAGAAAGAGTGACTGCCCGCATGACTGAAAAAGAGTTTTGGAATCCATTCTGACCATGCTGTCTGGACCAGATTAAAATTGACATTCAGTAAAATGCTATTAAAAGTTGACCTCAGACAGATATCCTCTTTAATTCGGACCTATAACTCAGTGGTACTGTAGAATCATACACAAGGCGAGGCCAGCAGGGTGACCACACCCAGCTGCCATGTCTGTGGGGCTAGAGACGGGGAAGAAATTCAGCATAAACATTCAAATGCATATTGGGCTCCGGCCCAGATATGTGGGAAGGTCAGCTGTAGCGCCATTACTGGGTAATGATTCTTTGTAGTTATGAGACGCCGAGCTCATGTCTGTGGTTTAGATGTGACTCCTACTCTCCTTCGAACAAGAGTGATTTTCTTTTTCTTTCAGTCTTTTAGGCATTTTGATATCTATAGAGAAACCTTTTGCAGTAGAATTGCTGACATAAAAACCAGGACAGCCCTTTTTTTGTCAGGCATATGTTGAGGATATTGATGTTTTCACCGCATTTTTACAGAAAATATTCAAAGCTACAAAATTGCCTTTTATGAGCCAAACTTGGATAACATTGATCACAATTGATAGCGCTCATGTTACAAAGTATTTTTTTCCAGAACGAGATGATTATGTGAACAACTCCTGCCGTGGAATTGGGTACAGATTTCTTGGTTCCCTAACATTTTTCTGGTCATCTGACTTTTCTCGATTTTAGTTCAGTTTTCATATATAGGGTTAGGTTTAGATTTTGAGGAAGTGCTGTATGAATTTTAAAGCTCTGTTGTCTCTAAACCGTTTAGTTGGAGAGAACTTTACATTTAGTTTTTGTTCCTTTCTGAAGGTTGGGAGAGCCAGCTGCTGGAAACAGGCTTTTTGGCCATTTTCTTGTGTCCACTGTGGACTCTTTCCCAGGTCCCCCGCCGCTGTCCTCCCTCCCTCATCTGCATCTGGACCTTCAGATGGCTCATCGTTCGCATCATGCTGGGTGCTGTGAGTGCAGTACTTAACACACACACACACACATTTGATGGAATAACTACTAAACCTTGTTATGATATGAGATTTGAGACCAAATTACAAACCGAGGAGCCACACCTGACACGCATACCGAAATGTTTTCGTGATCAAAAACTCACTGTGAATACAGTTTTTTAAATTTTTTCCAATCCATGCATTAATGCAGGAGAAACCTCTGTCTCTGCTGTAATCATCTCTCCCGACAGCTAAATTCCCCAGAATAGCCTCATGTTCTGATTTAAGGACGGTACTGTGTGAGCCGAGTTCTCGCTAGAAAACCGGGCCAGTATTCGGTGAAGCCAAACCAAATATGTGGTCGACTAAACAACACATCTCAATGTTTGACAGTTTCCATAGTGCATTCAAGACCACCGGCTGTGTTTTATTTGTCAATCACTCAAGTTACCAAAAATTGAGTGGGATTTTTTTTTTCCCCCTAAAAAGGCCAACAATGAATCCAATACACAGATCAAGCACTCAGCTGCTGTTCACATAGTCAGTGTTTTCAATGTAACATTATTCTAAGAGAAGCATTTCTTTGGTATCTCACCTCTTGTCTCCTTATTGATAACTGACTCAATAAGAACCAGGTGAGTAGTAATATTTCTAACCAGACCAAAAGTCGCTCAGCACTATCATTTCATGCAAATTGTAAAAAAAACAATTTAAAAAAGCAAAAACAATAGCAGATGACTAACGGGAATCACCAGCGCTGAGAAAAATAGCGAATTAATAAGTTAACTTTCCTCACTGGCTCCTTTCTTAACACAGTCGGTGATGTTATTGACGTACTTTTCAGACTGTGAAGCTGCTTGTTTCCACCAGCAACAGACTGAGAGGGTAATGATTCAGTAAACTACAAAATTGCTGCTAATTAGAGCGTGGCAGAACGGGCCGTCTTCCTTCAAAACACACTAAATCCTCTCAGAAACGTGTGGTGCGTTCACACAGCGGCGATTAGAAACGCATTTTAGTGGTTGTTTACGCAACCCATCGTGCAGCTTTAGTTGTCCAAACGAAGATGATATCACTTTGGAGCTATTGTCGGTCGGAGTTTCATCCTCTCCCTCATCTGTCTTCGTTTTTTTTAGCGCCCGTTAGCTTTGCCGCCTTTTGTGATGCCGTCATTTATTTAATTGCATTAAACTAGCTACTTCCAACTCGGTCCAAGCTTAATAAAACCTGGGAAAATATTCTTTTAGGCTTACCTTATTACAACGTCTGCATCAAGGATGGTCATTAAAATTCTGGGTGGATCTGTGATTTTTTTTATGTGTTTGTGCTTCTGTAAGAATTAATTTGATAATTTATAATAATATTAATTAAATTTAATCAAATTAAGTTCTCCTTAAATTATATTTAATGTGCATCATGGCGCCTTGGACTTGAGGTCTAAGCTTTAGCTGTTTTTGGGATGGGTGAAGCTCTGTTTTACTCCTCATTGATCCATGTTGGTTTCACATCCTGACAGCTTGAATGAATGAAGTATTAGGTTTTTATTTCTTCTTCATCTCGTTCGTCTTCTCGAATACCTGTTGGCCGTACAGGTGCGTGCATCCCCAGGCTCTTCCCACTCAGCTCTGTTTTCCGCGCAGTAGGCTGTGGTTGATGACATTTGGGGGGGATCTCATGACCGAATTGGATTATCATCAGGGTTTTTTAGAAGCAGACAGCAGCCCAGCTCCTTAATCAGAGAGAAATGATCCGGTGTTCCTAAATCTAGTTAGCGGCTAAAGGGCGATTCACGCCACATTCCATGCCAACCACATGATGGGGCGACGTGTCAATATTGACAGACTCGTGCTCTGGATGGGATGTTATTTATTTAGTAGCGCTCGGTGGTGAAAAACAGGTCCAGAACTGAAGATACGTTTCTCTTTTTTTTAATCTTTTTTTTATCATCTATAAATTTGACAGATGATTTAAACGATATGCTTAAATTACTCTAAATTATTCTAAATGTTTGGATGCTGTAGCTGTTCTGTCAAACACAGTATAGATTAATTTGTGTGTATCTGTTTCGGTCTCTCAGCGTGCTCCAGATTTTGAGAACAAAAGTATAAAGTCTGGGGAGCTGGCGATGTGCACAGACGGCATGCAAATCAGATTTGTTCTCTGACTTGACCTTAAAAGACTGCTCCTGTTTGCAGTGAACTTTAGTCTGGATTGTCAGAGGATGAATCAATATTTCTTGTGTCAGTGGCATTTATGTCACGTCTCTTTCTCTGTCTTTCTCTATCTCTCTATCTCTCTCTCCGTTGTGGCTTAAAACCACATTTCTTTCATATCGTGAGGAACTGCCGACGCCTGGAAGGCGTATCAGAGTCATTTTAACTAATATCAGAAAAAACTCATGATAGTTTCCTTATGCTGACGACTGATTTTGAAACTCCCATAGCCCCACATGTAATCTTGGCTTGAGTTTTCCTCTAATTCTACAATGAGGGGGAAATCTTTGGATTTTTTCAGATGACTGATTCATGTGGTTTAGCATTGTCGTGCAACCACTACACGGTGGCTCTAAATTGGGGAGTGGAAGGACTGCCGTGTGATTCCCAGCTACATTCTCCTTTGACACTTTGAGGCAGAGCAAAACATTCTGCACAATACTTCAGCTTTTTGGCTTTTTTCCATCATCTTCCTCTATTGTCTTCATTCCGTTCTTCTGTTCGTCTTTTCAAATGGACTTTTGCATTGTCTTATATTTTGTGTTCTTCATCTTTATCTCCAACCTTTGGCTTTTTCTCTTAATAGGCTTCTTTGACTTTCCCCTACCTCTCATCTGTGTGACTTCTTTTTCACTTTCTCTTGTTCTTTTTTTCTTGCTTGATTTTTCTTATTCATCTCTTTTGTAATCTTATTCTGTTGTTTTTACATGTCCTCTGTTTCTTTATCCTTTCACTCAGTTGGATTCATTATAGTATTTTTTTTCTATCATCTCCTCTTCTTCTTCTTCCTGGCCTTCATCAATAGCTATTCTCTGAACCAGATTATATGACTACTTTTTATCTCCAATTATAACTGTTCCTTTGAACCTTTTCAGGTTTGATTTAGGCGGCATCAGGGCATTTTTCTCGCTTCAAGTTGATTTGTTGGTGCAGATTCAAAAAAGGGCAGTGATAAATCACCAAGGTTACAAATGACCTCCATCAGCCCACAGTTTTCCTTGGTTCTGGTTATAATCCTCTTTTTCCCTATGTATGCTTTTCCTTCAAAGCATCTTCAACTTTTCCATTTCCCCAGCTTCTTCTCACACACACAACCTTAGTAAAGTAAAGAGGGTAAAGTTTGGAGGTGTGCAGCTGAATTAAATCCTTTTAGAATTCACAGTTGAGTTAAGGTCACAGCTCCCCAGGTTTAGGTGGTTAGAAGTTCTCCCTTACAGATGAGTCTTATGCCCTTTTTAGCACGTTTGACTGAGGGTGAATCTGTCTTGATCACATGTCTGATTTAAATGAATGAACTTGCAGCTTGCAGCCTTTTTGGCACTTCACAGCTCTCGTGCACGCGTTCAGGGCTTCAGAATGTCATGTTTTCTATCTCTTTTCAGGGTCTCATTAAAATCAGAGGCGACAAGTGCTGGAGAGACCTGACCTGCATGGACTACCACTACGAGGTGTGTTGCTATGTTTATCACGCTGCCTTTAATTAATTAATTTCACATCATTCACACTCATCTGAATCTTTCTGTATAAATTTGGTTCAGCGCAGCTTTAAGATGCGCTTTGTTCATTCATGCTTTACATCTGGTGTGTGGAACAATTTTCCCAGTTATTTGGTGAATTTTAAGTTAGCAATTTGTAGATTTTTCACATGGAAAAGGATTGGATAAGTTGAGAACAATGCTACACGATAGCTCGGGAAACAGGAAGGCACAAGCTTTTTCTCTGAATAATGTCAAGATATCATTAGTTCACATAAAGAGATGAGGATTTTGTGTTTGGGAGCCTCATGGTTGAGTTGTTGCTCTCTCAGAATGATGTATATACGACTTCTGACCTTCAGCTCAAAGCGAAGTGTTTCACCTCTGAATGTGTGAATGTGTGAACCAAAGGAAGTGGATGGAGTGCTCCCTATGTGTCAGATCAGAGAGGTCACTTCTTTGAAAAGGCTGCAAATGGGCCGGATTTTTCTTCAGCACGACGTCAGCGTTTCCGCGGCTCTCGGGTCAACGAGGTCCATGATATTGTGTTGAATAATAATTTAGTGGCATGGTGGGTAGTGGCTGCTCAGGCCAGTGGAGCTGACCAATCAGAAAAGGCCGGGCTTGTTGGTTGGCCTCCTAAGCTTGTTTTTACAGGAAATGTGTCAGTTGAAACAAACAGCACTCTGTCTGTGATTTCACGGGAGCGTAAAACCTGTAAGTTACAGTTGGTAAAGAACCAAAAGCCAAAATCATAAGTAAAGCTTGTGTGACTTTGCTCTTTAAGGAACTGTTCTTACATTGAACATATTGCTGAATCACCTCAGGAACCAAAGAGTCGTGAATTGGACAGCAAGCATCTGAGCTCTGAGGTCTCGAACTTTTTTCCCCTGCATTTTCAGAAAATGCCAGTTAAATAGAATTTGTTTTTCTCTTTTATAAAAACAATGAAGGTATTGGTTGGTACGTCTGATGTCCTGTTTTCTGTCTCTCTCCACCTATTTCTGTGCAATATTTATTTTTCCCCACCTCATCTGAAGCTGTTTGCACGTTGAGCCATTACACCGTACGCATACACACACACACTTAATCATCCATATACAAACACTGCGGAGCGCTGTTAAACCTGAGTGTTTTTTTTTTCGGAAAGGTGGGGTTGACTTCATTTAAATAAAGTTCCATCTTTATTTAGACATGGAAATTTTTCCCTCATAGTACGGCACCATAAATAACGCCCCATCCCACTCTGACACGCGCACCAGTGCCAAAGTAAAGCAGCAAAAACTTCCATCCTCAGCAATGGATGCGCCCTATGTTTGCTGTCAACTGCTCGATTGTTGTCATTTCTTTACATGTAAAATCAATCAGAGAAGATTAAATGAATCAGAGAAGCCGAAGCCTTTGTTTTTGATCTCCTTTATCACTCCAGACTCAGCCAGTCCCCAACCCCATCTCCTACTACATTCATCGCTCTCCCTGGTGGTTCCATCGCTTCGAGACCTTGTCCAACCACTTCATTGAGCTCATCGCGCCTTTCTTCACTGTCCTGGGAAGGCGGATGTGCATGGTGAACGGAGCAATCCAGATTCTTTTTCAGGTAAATGATAGAGAATTGTACTTCCAATGATTGAAAGCATCGCTAACATCAAGGCCTGGCTGATCTGCTCTTATCCGATACCTTTTTCCATCACTTGTCAAGGCCACTCTGACTTGTCCTCGTAGCCTCGAGCTCTGGCCTGCCCTCATTATCCTGCGTGAACTCACATGGCCCCAACCAACTTGTGTCATTACAGTTGGTTGAGAATGCGTGGCCTGCTTGTACTAAACTTAGACCCATAAGAGTTTGAAGCAGTCTTCCCCTGATGCCCATTAAGTAGCCACGTTACAAAATTACCCAGTAAAGCCCAGAGTTTGCTTACAGGTGAAGAACTGAACAAGGCTACTTGCGGCCATCTTGACAGCGCTCTCAGCCTTTCGAATGTATAAAAATAAAAACTGCTCAGACGTGTCCCGAAGGAATCTTCCCCCGGAAACTCCTCGCTGAAAGTCTGACTCCAGTTCAAGCTGAAGCTGTTGCATGGGTGCTGTCTGAGATGTTCATTAATAGCGCGGAAGGGAGAAGCTGTCAGCCTAAAGAGAGGCACCACGCAGGGAGGAAAAGGAGGGGGGATGAAGTAAAACAGGCTGTTGAACTAACACCATGTAACATTTTGACTGTAGCATGCATCATACATTATATTGAGAGCTTGAGAAATTGTGCCATAAAAAAGTGTAGAAATATTAATAATATCCCTAATTTTCTCTAAACCTGTGTTTGGATTTAACTCTTAAGTCTCCAAAAATACCTGTTTGCATATCTGTTTGTTATTGTCATCAGCAGATGTCAGATCAGTGTTGGTGAAGAGAAGTCATCACTGGATGTGTTTCCAGCAGATCCTGAAGCTAACGGTCCCCTTTTCTCTGTATTTATTTTACCTGGAGGTGGTCTTGATTGTGAGCGGGAATCTTAGCTTTCTGAACTGGCTCACCATCGTCCCGAGCGTGGCCTGCTTTGACGATGCGTCGCTGGGCTTCTTGTTTGGTTCAGGGGCCGGAGCTAAAAAGGCAGTGCTGGAGATTCAAAATGAGCAAGTGGCTGGACGCACCCCCAAATCCTCCAAAGGTATTCCGATCCCAAACTTTGGACTAATTTGAGATAGTATGAACCGTCATTTTGTTCAATAGCTTTTGCTCTTTCAATAATTTGAGAAAGCAAATGTAAACCTTCAGGTGTTCCATATCATGTATGATCTATAGTAAGCATAACCACATAACACTTTAGATTATGTTAGCTGTCAACACAGTTTCAAGGAGGAAATACATCAGCAATAATCTTAGAGAAGCAGAGTACAATGATCAGCAGATTTTCTCCTGAACCAAGTGGGAAACTGGTAACATCTTTGGAAGATGGCTCCTGGATTTTGGTTGAGTCCATGTTAAATTAGTGTTGACACAGTGTAATCAGTCATACTTTGTACTTCCGAGTCTGTGTTTACCTCATTTTAAGACTGAACAGAAAATAGTTCTTATTCACAGCCTGACACATAAGCTCTACGAGTTGGAAGAGGATGGAATATTCTCTCCAAATCAGGCTCCGCCACAATGTACAGGATGTCGTTAAATGGAAACATATGCATTATTATATATAGCAAAGGCCAACAGCCAGAGACGGTAGAGGCTCTGGTCAGGATGGAGAGGGAATTACGGGAATAAAAGGGATTAGCACTTGGACAGCTGAGCAGCTTGGAAAAAGCATGACATATGCTTTAAAGGAATTTAAAGTAATGTCGCTTACATTTTTACTGTTCAGACTGCTGAAAGTGTGAGTGGCCTCTCTAATTGGTCTCGTCGGAGCCATTAGTGCATTTACTTAGCTGCAGAACGTTGAATATAAAATGTGCTTCTACCTGCCGTTTGCAAATTTTCAACCATTTAGCAGACCAAGAATGTCTGTGTGGGTGAGAAAAAGTTTTATTTGGATTACAATGATGTCTTTAACATAGGCGGGCAGGTAGAAAGGCACTTGTAACAAGCCACCACCCTGAAATCTAACAGGCTGAACCACTTCCACTAAGGACACAGATTCACGCCAAGCATCACCCACCAAATAAACCCGAATACAACATTGTTTAAAAAAAATAAATCTATTTATGTATTTATGTCAGGAATGCTGATTCGCCGGGTGGTGAACATTGCTCTGGGAGTTCTGATTGGCTGTCTCAGCATCCCCGTGGTTCTGAACCTTTTGAGCTCCAGGCAGGTGATGAACACCTCCTTCGACCCCCTGCGCATCGTCAACACCTACGGGGCCTTTGGCAGGTACAGGGCACAGGGACGGGCTTCTGTGGGCTCCTGCCGCCGTTTCTTTATTTTGATTTTTTTTAATGGAATCATTTCTTTGCTACTTTCGCAAAGCAAAAATTGGGAGGTTTTCACCTTTTATCTGCCTTCACTGATAAATCTGCTTTATTAACATAAAAAGCATAGAACTACTCCAGTATGATGAGTGGCCCTAAAGAATGACCACAATCCACGGCTAGTTTACTGACCAACAGACTTTGCATATGGAACCGAAAAAAATCTTTCAATATTAATTTTTAAATAAAAAAAAATATATATTTTTTTACAAGGCTTTCAGGCAGGTTTGTATGAACTTTAGGTGAGTTTTCCAAATAAAGATTTGAGTGGAACCAATTGGAAACAATAAATCATCCAGCACCAAGAGCTGCTTTGACATAGATGCATTTAAAATAAACCACATTCATGTTGATGTTTTTAATAAGTGCCACAATTATATAATGAATAGTGGTGTTTCTAACACATGAAAGTGGACACAAAAATTATAGCCTTTTTCAAAAATGTATAATTACTTTTCACAAAGCTTTAAGTATTTAAAGATTGAGATCTTTTAACCTTCTTCACAGAAAAAATAATAGAGCAGTCCACTGTTGGCCAGGAACTGTCTATAAATCAGCCTTTATCAAAATCAGTGATGTAACTAAAATATGTTTTTTAACAGCTAAAGGAAACCAAGTGGTGTCCCTCTCTCCACCTACAAGTAAACGAAAGCATTCCATTTTGTTTCCCGCTTGATACACCAGCATCACCAAGGAGCGCACAGAGGTGATTTTCCAAGGTACCCTGAGCCCGGATCCCAAAGACCCCGAGGCGGTTTGGGAGGAGTACCAGTTCTTCTGTAAACCGGGGGACGTGTTCCGGAGACCCTGCCTCATATCGCCGTACCACTACCGGCTGGACTGGCTCATGTGGTTCGCAGCCTTCCAGGTGAGGTTTCACCTGGAGTCATAATCTCCTCATGCATTGTTTTTCTTCTTCTGCTTCTTCTTCCTCACACCCTTTATTATTCCCTCTCCTTGTCTGGCTCCCCTTTATTACCTGTCTCCGTGGCTACCACAGACCTATGAGCAGAGCGAGTGGGTGATCCACATAGCGGGACGCCTGCTGTCTAACGACACCACCGTCCTCTCACTGCTCGACCACAACCCCTTCCAAGGCAGAGACCCACCCAGGTAAGGGGAGATCCCACTGCCACGCTCACTGTTAAGTTTATATCTTAAACTTTTTTTCTGGTTGCCGGCCCCTTTTTCTGACTAGCACACAGAACATCTGGTGCTGGTAGAGCTCGGTGCTCCAATGCCTAGTGATGAGCGCCCTCTGGTGAAACGCAAAACCTTCATGTTGTACAACGGGAACCCAGTTTCTGTTACAGCAAACGGCTTTTATCGTATGAATAAATACTGTGCAAGGAGTTCAGCTAATTAAAATACCAGCATTTGCACACTTGATTGCACAAAGAAAACATCGTCATGGCCCAATATTTGCTGTAATCTGATGATCTGAGGGAAAACAGGGCCAGGAGGCAAACCCACACGTTTTTAAACTACCAACCCTTCTCTTTTCTGAGTTAAACTACTTCTATTTTTACTACTATATCACTTTTAACTGGTGAAAATAATAACATTTCTGATATATTCAATATCCTTTCTCTACATTTTTGTACAAATGAGTTTAAAGATTTTGTCCAGCACAATTGTAATCTAGACTAAAGAATTAAATCGGTGACTTAATCCTTTTCTGCTCTCAGGTGGATCCGAGGAGAACATTTCCGATACAAGTTCAGCCAGCCGGGGACGGCCAGTGCAGATCAGGGCAAGTGGTGGCTGAGAAAGCGCATCGGGGCCTACTTCCCTCCAGTGGACCTGGAATCTCTCCGGGGATACTTCAAGTCCAGGAACTGGCCTCACCCACACATCCCACGGAACAGGAACTAAAGTCCAAGCCTGAGTGGAGCCCAGGCGTCGGCATCAGAGGGGAATTCGGTTGCTTTAAAGTCATTGCGTAAAGTATTTTTCAGCCTCGCGTTCCTTCGTGTGCGCGGAGCTGTTATCAGGGAGCAGAGCTTACTGTTGACCCCTATGAGGAAGTGATAGAGGAAAACTTTCCAAAATACTGAAGGATCCCAAACAATGTGACTGTTCCTTAAAGTTTGAGTTTGAGATGTATTTCCAGTCATTATGAATGAGGTGCTCGACTTTTCAGTGTTCCATCTGGTAAAACAAAACAATTACATAAGCCAAAGCTACATATGACTCAGGAGGTTGTAATTGTAACTGTTAATTCTTTCCTTTTTTTTTTATTCGCAAGACTTCTAAAAACTGTTGTGTCTGTGTGGATAAGGTATTGTTTTAAAAGTACAGAAGTACACTAAATGGGGTTACAGATTATAAGAGCAGTTTATTAAAATAGGTGAGTGGGAGGCAAAATGGACGCATTTTTCAGCTGTTCAGTTTCTAACGTTTGTTATTTGTTCTTTTATTGTAACTTGGAAAAGTGGAGCCAAATCAACTTAATGTAATTATTTAGAGAGAAAGCCAAACGGAATTCATGTTTAATCAAACATGCCAAAAAATTCAAATGGTATTTTATTTTACTTTTCAAAGTGAAAAATGTCATTTCACCAAAAAAAGGTCATATATTGGCCAAACTAAAGCAATAACACTACACGTGGCACGGCTATGAGCAATTTAAAGAAGATAAAAGGTTTACCAGAATGTCTGTGGTTCACCAGAAAGAGGCTGTTTCAGTAAAACAAAAGACCAGAAGATGGCACTGTTTTCCAGGTCAAATATGCTTTTGTTCTGAGCTACTGTAAAACGTAAGTCTGACACAATTAAAGAAGAAAAGCAGAACCCTAGCATTTATTTGTTTTAGATTCTAAGAAACGTTACATCTATATTTTTTGATAAGTGAGAATTCAGAGTACCATACGTCTTTGATAAAGAGAGCAGAGGTATGACCCCTCCAGAAAATCTAGACCAGACACACAGATGTTCCTAGCACACACACACACACACACAAACACACAACTCCAGCCAGCCTGCTTATATGAAAATAAGTTCCCTGTGATTATTTGTCACATTTTTCAGTTTATATGGTTTGACTGCATTATTGTTCTGGATGCATAGTGTTCTAAAATACTGTTTGGAAGTTAAAAAAACACCATATTATTTTGTCTACAGACATACATCTCACTAGTGTCTAAGCAATCCAATAAAGCCTCAAGAAGAGATCACTCCAGGCTGCATCCCTACAGAACTTTCTTTTTTTCATCTGAAGGCATGTGATATATTAGACTTCTTTTCCTGACATGGTTAGAAGATTTCAGACCACTGTCGAAGGAGCAATAGCTCATATATAAAAAAAGAAAGATAAATAGCTCTGTAGGTGTGGGGGGTTCATTTCTCCATATACCCTAGGCCATCTTCAAAGTCTTACAGCTATTAATATCAAAAGCCGTCAGTTTGGATAAATGGAGTGAAGATGTGAAAAGACAGAAGAAGCTTTTAAAGCCTGCCCTTTTTTCCCCTTTTTTGTCACTTCTTGAGAACACTGACTTGGTGGTGTATCAGTGTGACAGGAGAGCCGATTGCACGTTTCATGACCAAGGCGTGATGGACAGAAATTCCATTTAATCTGATCACAGCAATGCGTTCCCAGTTAGCACTGGCTAGCATTGTCAGCTAACATGTGACTGGCACATGGTTAGGTTGGTGGTTGCAGAAAAACCCTTGAAAGACAAAAGATAACTTGAGTGCCAACCACTATTGGCGGTTCGGTTCGTTCATTCTAACCTGAAACTTGGTGGCTTGTTGAAGAGAAATCCTTCAAGTGTTTGATGGCCTGGCACACTCAAAATGAATCACACGAACTGATCAAAACCATGCTGAACCAAGACTGAAGCATTGTTTACATTAAAAAAAAGCAAGCCAACAGTCTTTTTCTTGTTGTCTTTTAATGTTGTTTCTCAATCCAAGATGTCGATGCCATCTTGGATTGTTTACTGATGACTGTTTGCTGATGTAAAAAAAAAAAACTTACAGATGCTGGTAAAGCTTACTGTAAACTCTGAAACTACGTCAGCCACAAGCATAGTTATAATTGACAGTGGATTTTTGTGTCCAATCTTGTGAACACTACAAGAATCCAGCCGCTTCTGAAGCGCTCGCTCCAAATGGCAGCAGTATTTTTCATTTTCTGTCCACTCAAATGTTTAAAAACATCCATTTTCTCTTTCCGTTCGTAGGTACTGTTAGTTGTTTTATACAGGCATCTCGGCAGAAGCTCCAGTCAGTGTGGTTGTGAGTAAAAGCTATATTAGGACATCGGTCATTGATGGGTGTGTGTGTGTGCTCTTCCCTGTTGTTTGCAGCTCGTTGGTTTTGACAATGCAATACTTGCACAGCGAGGGTGTTTTTAATGGCCTCCTCGTCAAGCGTATCTGCATCCCATTTGCCGTGTTAACTGCCTGCGGACGGCGGCTAGATTTCCCCGCAGAGTCGCCTCGGCGGCCTTCGTCCCAGGGTCACTTACAGATCGCACGCGGGATCAAACGAGCCATCAGGTTGTGGAACGCGCAGCAAAGATGTGTCATCACCCACGGCCTCGGCCAGGGCGTTAAATTAAAGCCGAGGCGGCGGCCATGCCCAAAGAAAGATGGAGATGGCATTAAAGAAGGAGGAGCTGCGGGTTCAGTTTCCTGTCGGGAGGATCTGTTTGCACTTCTCTAATACAGCAGCAGTAAGAAAGCGTCCAGCAGGAAGACAGCGTCCAGCAGGAAGGCAGGCCTCAGGTCCAAAGCTGGTGCCAAAATCAGATGGAAAAAAGATCTTTTGAACTTTTTTCCCTAAGAACCGGGCTACAAACACACATTTAGGGTAGATACGGGGCAGTGATCAACAGTGTGGCGGGCAGATTATCCTCGGAGGTCACGTTTAAATAACGTGTCTAATCAGGCCTTTGTGTTCCTGTAGGAAAGTAACGATGTGCTCGCTTGCTTTTCATGAGCCTAACATCTGATACACATTCTAAAAGTCAATATAGAGCTCCAGAAAGGTCACAGGACTTGAACAAAATTTGGGAGATTTGTTTCTTTTATATTAACTGTCCATCAGTTCACAATTTCAGCTCAATGGAAAGAACTTTGTCAGGGATAGAAATTAAGCCGATGGGTAGCAAGGATAAGATAAGAATTTAAATAGTAACATTTATTGAGAAGTTGATCAATTTCTTTGAGCTGCTAAACAAATAAGTGGCAATACGCAAATAGTGGAAAGTTATGGGTAACTAAACTAAATTCGGACTACGAGTTGGGGAAATTGGTGAGCAGAATTGATAGATTAGCTCAAACTGTTGTCTTGACGCAGGTTACAGATCAGTGGTCGAGGCTATCCAAGGGAAAGAACGCACTAAATGTTGAAATAGTCAACAGTGGAATATGTTAGTGATGGCGTCACGGTAAGAAGAAAGTGATCCATGTCGAGCTAAAACCAGTTTGAACTAACTGGAGTCCATCTGTCAAGCCGGCACAGCCTCATTCATAAGAAGCAGGGCAGGGGAACAGCGGCAAAGTGTTTTTTAAGTATAATATTCCTGTTGAATGCCCGGCAGACTCCTGCTGCATACCCAGGAGAAACTGTTGGACAGTACTGGTCAGACTCATGTTTGACAGTGACTGCTGTGAAAAGTAAAGCCTCTTTTCAACAAGCTGTCCCAAACCTCTGGATGCCCGACTCAGTACAAGCTGCAACCTTAAAGGTGACCCGAAAATAGAATTTCATGTTTAAATTCCAAAGGTTTTGCAAATGACTTACTGTGCTCAGTATCTCTGGGATACTGCACCAGTGATGGGTCTCTTAGTGATTCTTGTGAAAATACATTCAAATTGTTTGGTTGGAGATTATATAAAAGGCTCGAGCAGTTAAATAATTACAGCCAGTTCATCTTTTTGCGCCTTAAAAAAAGAATGCACCAGGTTAAATTATGCGTTGCAGGTGTGGAGGCAGGCTTTACAACTGTTTACTTTCGAGGCTGTGTTTATCCCCCCCCCTCCTTTTCTAACCATACTTTCAGTTGCTTGTATCATCGCTGTCCGGGAGAAAGAAAGGTGGGGATATGGCCGCTTGCACCATGGACATTGAAAAGCACTAGCGGGACAACAGCTGTTTTTATTTTTTTATTTTATGTGGTCCGCTTTACGCACGGCCATGATTTTGACGCACAGGTGAACTCCACTCGCTCAAACGTGCGTCGACCACCACTGGAGGAACAAAAAGTGCACCGAAAGAAAGAAGGAAAGAAAGAGAGAGAAACGTCCACTTCGCTCGTCCCACGCCCGCTTTCGCGTTATTCCGTTTGCCCGAGCCCCGTTCGTTATCACAGCCATGTCCAGGAAGAAGGCGCTGAAGGGGAAAGGGAGCTCCAGGAGCCCGAAGGCGTCCCCGAGCAGCGGGCGGACGGGGAAAGGTTTGGCCGCGGCCGCGGCTCCGTCCTCCGGGCTGGTTTACCCGAGCAGACCGTCCATCAGCAACAGCGGAGAGTTTTATGACATCGCCTTCAAGGTGAGCGAACGAGCGCTAGCGCGCGACAGGCGCTCGCGACAGTTGGCAGACGGGCAGGTACAAGTTTTTTCGCAGGGGCTAATCAGTCCTAACGGGCAACACCTGTCAAGAGAACAACAACTTAGTTTCAAACTAGAGGGTTAAAAAAACAAAACAGAAGAAAAAGTCATTAACCGTTAACTTCGGTGGGCATTTTCACATGAATGTAGCCTAATAACGACACCGTCTCGTCTACAAAGGTGAAGTCTTCTAGCTTAAAAACAAACACGTAGCGCAGAATATCGAGTCTAGTCAAATATTTTCCCTCGTGTTTGCAGGAATTTTTTTTTAAAATCTAGAACCAGGGAAATATTTTTAGCTTTTCACTTCAGATATCGACGATAAAAAAAAGAATAAATTATAAAAAAGAAGGGATTCTCCAGCCGGAACGGTAAAAAAATTTAACTTCATTTAAAAAAAAGTTGATATGGTCTCTGTATCGAAAAGGAAAGGATACTGACAGTAGCCCTTTAAACGAAGGACTTTCTTAATGGCTCTGTTTGGCCATTCATAGCAACCCAGAGCTCCAAACAACCACACAGCAGCATAGAGACGTTTTTCTGGGGACATACTTCCATAATTAATGAGGCCAATTAACGGCAGCACATTTTGTATACTGGAACTGGTACGGCGTGTTCCTGCACGTGAAAGTCCCTAAATCATACAGTTGCTCCATGACTTTGAAACTGCTTAAATTAAGAGTCCCAGGTTATTAACTCTATTTACTCTATAGTTGATAATACCCAATGGAAGTGGAATGTAGGGGTGTATATGATTCAGGAACTACGATCCAGTTTTGAACTGCAGCCCAAAATTATTCTTGAGAATTAAATAAGCCTACTCCACCACCCATATTGGCTTATGTAAACAGGAATGTAGTACAGTGGAACTGGAATCCTCTGGTACCTTTACCCAAAATGTATATCTTATTTATGTAAAAGAATGGTCAGTATTTAAATAAAATTATTGTGATTGAATAACTTGTCCATAAAAAGAAAAAGAAATGTGCTCTGAGAAAAAAGAAAGGCTGTTTTGGATTTGCCTGAATGAGCCAAGAGGACCACCACTGTAAATGTTAACTGCATATGAAAATCAATATGCCCTAATTTGTCAAACTGATGAAGCCACTGCTGTTTATGTCATGTAAACAGCACATTGATGTTCAAAGATATGTTGAAGAGATGAGATGATGGATAATCTATAGGGAGTATTGGTGTTGATCTAGAATTGAAATGTAAGACAAATGATAATCAACATTGAGCCCCACTGATCTTTTCCTTGTGAGAGTGGACGGTGGCATTAGCTGTCCCTGTAGGAACAGATGGTGGGGTCAGCCACTTGCTGGGCAGACTGTGTGATGCACACAGCTGGAACAGTGGGCAGCCTCAAATATCACCTGTAATCCCTGCAAATAGAGATTTTATTAAAAAAGACGCTGGAAAAACTGATTGCAGTCGACTTTACAAAAACACTGGCAGTTTTCTCTCTGGAATAAACAAATGTCATCTAAACCTATAGTTTTCTCCCAAACTTGTTTCCTTCTTTTTCCAAATACACACACACAGGCACACAAACACACAAGGTCTTTGAGTTTTGTCAACCGATGAACTGACTCTTCTGCCCTCTCTCAGGTGATGCTGGTGGGGGATTCTGGAGTTGGAAAGACCTGTCTGCTGGTT